TCTAGAGTTGGATGCTCAACTGATTGAGCCACCCAGGCACCCCACAGTCTTTGTTTTAAAGTCTATTTTGTCGGGGCGCCTGGGTGGCGCAGTCGGTTAAGCGTCCGACTTCAGCCAGGTCACGATCTCACGGTCCGTGAGTTCGAGCCCCGCGTCAGGCTCTGGGCTAATGGCTCAGAGCCTGGAGACTGTTTCCGATTCTGTGTCTCCCTCTCTCTCTGCCCCTCCCCCGTTCATGCTCTGTCTCTGTCTGTCCCATAAATAAATAAAAACGTTGAAAAAAAAAATTTAAAGTCTATTTTGTCTGCTGGAAGTATTGCTGCACTGGTTCTTTTTCCCCTTTTCCATTTGCATGGAATGTCTTTTGCCATCCCTTCACTTTTAGTCTGTATGTGTCCTTAGGTCTGAAATGAATCTCTTGTAGGCAGCATATAGATGGGTCTTGTTTTTTTTTTTGGTTTTTTTTTTTTTTTTTGTTTTGTTTTTTTGGGTTTTTTTTTTAATCTATTCAGTTACCCTGTGTCTTTTGATTGGAGCATTTAGACCATTTATGTTTAAAGTAATTATTGTAGGGGGGCCAGTCTAACACCTGCAAGGTCAAATTAAGTTGAAGTCTATCTAAGAATAGTTGAAAGATTGGGGCCTCTGGGGACTCATTTGGTTAAGGATCCAACTTCAGCTCAAGTCATGTTCTCATGGTTTGTGAGCTCAAGCCCCACATTGGGCTCTCTGCTGTCAGCATGGAGCCTGCTTTGGATCCTCTGTCACCGTCTTTCTCTGCCCCTCCCCTGCTCACACTCTCTCTATTTTCTCTCAAAAATAAATAAACATTAAAAAACAAAAAAGAATAGTTTGAAGATCTTGGGCTCATACTCAGGACCACTATTCTCCCAGGGACACTCTACCTAGATGACCTAGAAACCTTGGAGGTTTGTAATCATTTTGATTTCTGACACAATGCACCAGAATCTTCCAAAAGCTGAGGAATCTGTTAATGTAATCCCAGTGATTACATTTTAGTTTACTACTTAAATATCTACTACTTAATGCTTACAATAATCATACTACTTGAAGTGAGCTTTCAAATTTGCTTAACTGTATCAAATTTCCTTAATAATTCTTACAAATCAAACTTTTTTAATAGTATGGATTTTAATCTTTGTGAAGCTTAGGATGATTTAGATGTAAGATTTTATTCTTTATCTTAAGTGTGACTTTTAAAGTTTCTAGAAGTCCTCAGTGTAAGAGCAATTTATATGTAATAGACAACAAAGAGAACAAGGCCATCACTGAAGTTGCTTTGTAAATACTAATTGATGGTATAATTTTATGCCTTAATCTTTTACATAAGAGATAATTTTTGTCAAAAGTCTTCTTTAAATTGTTTAATGATAACACTTTAGTTATTAAGGTACAACCATGTAATTATCTATGCAAGTCATGTTTTGTTTTATATTTGTCTTTATTCTTATAAGAAAGTTGGAATTTGAAATTTAAAGGTATGTGTATATCATATCAGTCAATAATAACTGCTTAATTTTTTAAACAGCTTTACTGACATATACTTTACATATCATACAATTCACCCATTTAAAGTTAAAATCCAATGGTTTTTGGTATATTTACAGAGTTGTGAAACCATTATCAGAGTCTAATTTAAAAATATTTCATCACCCCAGAAAGAAACCCCTTGCCCATTAGCAGGTAGTCCCAATTTTCTCTCCCCCACCAGCCCTAGACAACCACCAATCTACTTTCTATCTCTCTAGATTTGCCTATTCTAGATATTTCATATAAATGGAATCATACAATTTGTAGTCTTTTGTGACTTTATTCTTTTACATAACAATGTTTTCAAGGTTCATCCATGTTGTGGAATGTCATTTCTTCATTCCTTTTTGTGGCTGAATAATATTTCACTGTATGGATATACCACATTTTCATCATTTGTGTTGTTTCCATTTTTTACTATTGAAAATAATGTTGTTATGAACATTCATGTACAGCTTTTGTGTGAACATAAGCTTTCATTTCTCTTGAGTATATACCTAGGAGTGGACTTGCTGGGGCATATGGTAACTCCGTGTTTAACATTTTGAGCAACTATCAAACTGTTTTCCATACTGGCTCTACCATTGTACACACTTATCAACAATATATGAGTGTTTCAGTTTTTCCACATCTTTGCCAACACTTATTGTTGGTTACTATAGCCATCCTAGTGAGTATGAAGTCCTGTGTCATTATGGTTTTGATCCTCATTTCCCTAATGATTGATACTCAGTGTCTTTTCATTTGCTTATTGGCCATTTGTAGTTCTTTACAGAAATGTTGATTTCTTTAAATATTGGATTCTTTGCCTAATTTTTAATTGGGTTATCTATCTATACACATACAATACACACATATGATTCCTCCATATATATATATATATATATATATATCTCCATCTCTCTCTATATATAAGGTTATTTATATATATAAGTTTATATATATATATGTTTATTTGAGAGAGACAGAGCATGAACAGGGGAGGGACAGAGAGAGAGAGAGAGAGAGAGAGAGAGAGAGAGAGAGAATGAATCTCAAGCAGGCTCTGCATGGTCAGAGCCCAGTATTTGTAGGGCTTGAACCCATGAAACTGTGAGATCATGACCTGAGCTGAAATCAAGAGTTGGACTCCTAACTGACTGAGCCACCCAGGTACCCCTATATATGTATATATATATTTTTAAGTTTATTTATTCTCAGAGAGAGCCAGAGCACGCACAAGCAGGTGAGGGGTAGAGAGGAGAGACAGAATCCCAAGCAGGCACCACACTATCAGCACAGAGCCCGATGTGGGGCTTGAACTCAACTGTGAGATCATGACCTGAGCCAAGATCAAGAGTTGGACTCTTAAGCACTGAGCCACCCAGGCCCTCCCATATATATATATATATATATAATATATATATAATATATATGTATTATATATATTATATATATATATTATATATATAATATATATATATTTTTAAGTCTGGTTTATTGAGGTATAAGTTATATGTAGTAGAATTTATCCCTTTAAGTGTATGGTTCTACGAGCTTTGGCAAATTGTGTACACCCGTGTAATGCAACCAAAATCAATATAGAGAAAATTTCCATCACCTGAAAAAATTACCTTATGACCCTTTGTAGTCAGTCTCCTCCCCCTTCCCACAGCCCCTGACAACCACTGATGTGATTACTGTCCCTATAACTTTGCTCCAGAATGTGAAGTAAATGGAATCGAATCATATGGTATGTAGATTTTTATGTCTGACTTCTTTCAGCTAGTATAATACTTTGAAGATTCATCCATGAAGTTGCATGCATAAGTAATGTGCTCCTGTTACTTCTGATTGAACAGTTACCTTGTGTTAGACATTTATCTGAGAGTGCTTTATATATATTATTAAGCCTTATAACACTCTATGAAATAAATAATGTTATCCTCACTTAACAGTTGAGAAAACTGAGGTAAAGAGGTTTATTAGCTTGCTCAGGAACATAAATGGTAGTGCTAGAGTTTTCACTTGGGTCTGTCTGACTTCACTGCACTTAAGCCCCTGCACTTAACCATTTTTAACATACTGACTGAATACTTCAGGTTACATTTGTGTATATTGGGCTTTTTGGGTGTATGGGGGTTATGATGATTTCAGTTAATTAATTTGTTAATCTCAGTTTATAATAGTACGTTAAAACTAAATAACAGCAATTAGTGATTCAATGTTGCAAATTGTGGTTATTCTCTTGTGTCTGACACATTCTACAACTGTTATTTTTTATTTTGTATGTGTGTGAGACCTGAGCCCAAAGTAATAGTACTGTGGATTATAAGTGATTAAAAATCATAACATTAATATTGCTTATGATAACATATTTACAGTAAATAGGGTGTGCAAAGGAAATCTGCTTTTTCCCCATTTCCACTCTGCAGAAGTAAGCCTTGTAGTTCTTGGGTATGCTTCAAGAAAGTACACATATACTTACAACCATGTAATTTTGTACTAATGGAGTTGTACTGTATACATACTTTTTTTGCAACTTGCCCTTTTCACTTACTAGTATGGAGAGATTATAGTACAAATCTACCTCATTCTCTTTAGCATTTCATGGTATTTCAAAGTAGTGATGTACCATCATTTATTAAACCAGGCCTCTTTTGGTGGACATTTAGGTTGCTTCTTTAACAAATTTTTTTTTAATTAAAAAAATATTTATTTTTTTTTTTTTGAGAGAGACAGCATGAGTGGCAGAGAGAGAGAGGGAGACGCAGAACACATAGCAGGCTCCAGGCTCTGCGCTGCCAGCACAGAGCCCAATGTGGGGCTCAAACCCATGAACTGTGAGATCATGACCTGAGCTGAAGTCAGACACTTAACCCACTGAGCCACTCAGGCACCCCTAGGTTGCTTCTTATTGCTATTATAGGCAGTCTTGCAGTAGGCAACTTTATATATATCTTAGATAAATTTTTGGGTCAGAGAGTACAAGCATTAAATAGTTTGATAGGTGTACTCTGATTGGTTGTCAGAAATTTGCTATGTATTTATTTACACTTCTACCAAGAGTTGGTGATGAACATTTGGCTATATTTTTTTGGACTTAGGTGGCAAAATTCCTTAATATATTAAGGTATTTGAATTGGGTAGAATTCATATTTAGTTCATTTCCTAGTAAGTGTCACAGAGTAGATCTGCAACTGAGGTTTGTTGGATTTAAGAGATTTGGCATGTAACCCTGACATGGGTAGATGGGCCATTTGATTGTAGGGGAGTCTCAGAGCTGATCAGTGCCTTTGTTTCCATCTCTGTAAAAAGGGGTGATCATTCTGCCTGGTGCTTTCTGTGGGATGATGGAAGAATAAATGAGATTATTAGGTAAAGTGTTTCATAGATTTTTACCAACGAATTTATGCATCTGTTTTCTTTAAAAAGGAGAGTGTTGTATAAGTTGTTACTTATATCCTTAGGTATGTAGAGATGAAAGAAGTAGCTTTTCATCCTTTGACTTCTTGGGAGAAGATGCTTCCACTTTAATAGTAGGACACTGGAATGGAAATATATCGCTGGTGGATAGACGGACACCTGGAACTTCTTATGAGAAGCTTATCAATTCTTCTCTGAGAAAAATAAGAACTGTTCATGTCCACCCAGTGCATAGACAGTATTTTATCACTGCAGGATTGAGGTATGTTCTTCATAAAGTTTTGTGATTCAGGCCTTTTAAAGTTAGGAATATTGCTTTAGTTTGGATGTCAAAGACCTCCAACTTTTGTGATACCCCATATGGTCAAATAATTTTGATTTCTACACCAATTGAGGTTTTATTGAATGTGATTTTTTTTAAAAGAGAGATTCTTTTGGATTTAATAAATAGTGAAAATATTAAACCAGAACACATTTTTGTTTTCCGTGGCATCACATGCATTTAATTCTAGTCTCTTGAGAAGAAAACTTATAAAAAAAACCTGTATGTGACATAGAACTTGTTGGTCTGTGTTCATTTTTTTTTTCTCAGATTGGAAAACCAAGTAGAATCTTGTCTCTCTATACCTACTGGTTTCATATATATGCTACAGTTTTGGAATTTTTCTAATATTTCATTTTTTGTCTACACAATGTTTGTAAAATTATTACAGATTAGAATGTTCTGTCTTAATTGTTCTTCAGTGTAATGAGTATTTGAGTGTCTAACTAATGCTCAGCACTATTCAAGAGCTCGCTAAAACTGAGAATTATTCTCCCCTTACAGGGATACTCATATTTATGATGCAAGGCACCTGAATCCCAGGGGAAGCCAGCCTTTGATTTCTTTGACTGAACACACAAAGAGCATCGCTTCTGCATATTTTTCACCTCTTACTGGTAACAGAGTAGTGACCACATGTGCTGATTGTAAGCTGAGGTAAATTGGGGAGATAGAAATGTGTTGTTAAGGAATCTAAAGAGTCTGTAGCTACTGTGTCAGTAAACAGGTAGCTTTACTACTGCTCCCTATTAAATTGCTAGTATTATTGTTTTGTAGCCATTTCTCTGTTCCTAGCCAGATCAATAACCTATATTTAATGGCTTTTCAAAAGTTTTTGGGTCTGGAAATTTCCTTGAGATCAGCAGGAAAGGTCTATAGCTACTTCAGGAAGTAGATGTCAGGCTTTCCTTTGAGCCCTGAGCAATCCCAGAATTCCCAATAAAACCAGGCTGTGATATGTTGGAAGAAAGATAATTTTAGCATAGGGACAAACTCTTATGTTGGGGATAGTGGGGTCTGCCTTACATGTGAAATGCTTAGTGGAAGTTGTAGGCAGGCAGAAAAGATAGCAAAAATTGGGCTTCTGTACAAACTACTGGTTACAGTTTTATGGTTTTAGCTTTTTGGTACTTCCTAAAATGGCTTTAAAAATGAAATGTAAACCAGTTGAACAAAAATTAAAATATAGTGTCAATAAAAAAGATGTGAAGAATGTTAATACAACCACAAAAGAAATGATTTTGTTCTCTTCTGTAATTCCTGGTTTTGCTTAGCATTATAAGCATTTATTATTTTATGAGAGTTTTTACCTTAAGTGATTCTGGAATTCATTGGTTGAATAGTAGGACACTGAATGGAAATATATGACTGGTGGATAGACAGTATCTGTTGAATGTATCTGTTGAATATATATTGTGGGCCCAGCTCTAGAAAGGCACCTAATTTCCGTTAGACTCTTCTATTGGGAAGAGCATGGTTTTTGGTTTGTGACAGATACCCAGTTAGTTTCTAGTAAAGTCTGTGAGCATTACCCAGGTGGGTGCATTAAAAGATTTAGTCACCAGGCAGTGGCAGCCCATTGTCTCTTTTCCACCCATACAGTTTTCTTTGTCTCAGAAGCTACCTATTTTTCCCATTTCTGTTCATTTGCACTGTAGAGTTTACATTAGCTGTTAATGATTCACCTTTCTGGTCTTCTAAGTAGGCAATAAGCTCTAGTGTCAAGAAACTGCACTGGAATAGCTAGGTGCATAAAGAAGGGGGAGGTGGTGTGAGGTGGGTAGTTTCTTTCTCTACCTGGTAGAGGCTTCTGGACTCTTTGAGTTATCCCACAAGAACTTCTCCCCTTGGTTGCTGGTCAGTCATAGTCTTGCCAGCATCTGAAAATGACATTGTTTAGTCCCTCACTAATGAGTCTCATGGGGGAATTGCTCTTGATATGTGCATGCATTTTTAGGTTATTTGTACATTTTCAGACCGTATCCCTTTATATATGATCTATATTGTGATTTCTAATAGATTTCACCAGATTATCACTTTATAATGTGCATTTTACATTTGGGGTAATAGCATTTAAATAAATTATTTCTACACTAAACTATAAAGCACTGAATTTTATAATATTTCTTGTAATTTTTGTTAAAGCCTGATCCTATATATTTTAAAATAGCAATCATATTTCATATCATGAACCAATGAAAAGCTTGTTAAATACACTGATGTTTCAGAAAATTTTTAAGAAACAGTAAAAAGGGTGTTACTTTATTCTTGATCTTTATTTTGCAGAATCTTTGACAGCAGCTGTATATCCTCTCAGATTCCTCTGCTCACTACCATCAGGTAGGTTTCCATATGCTGAATAATGTAGACCCTGGATTGCTATCAGCTATTTAGAGTGCATACATTAGACATCTGATTATCAAAGAGATGTAATAAGTCTGATTTTTGTATTACATTAAGTGTCCTAGGTTGCTGGTTCCTATCCTGTTTAGAAGTGTTCTTGCTTCCAGGTTCACTGTATTTTTAAAGAGGTTCAGTCTCTTAGTCAGTAGCTGTTCTCTACAGCTGGGTGGTTCTGTTTGGTTAAGGTGGATGACTGTATTCAACTTGAATTATTTATGGTATCTTATTAAAGAAGATTGTAACTACTTACCTACTGTGAGGCCAGCTGAAGCTCTCTTTGTTTATACCTGTTTGTTGTGAGCTTAAATGGTTTCCCCACCTTCCCACTCACTTTCTTTGGTTACTTTCTTTCTTTTTTTTTGCATCTGCTACTTTTAATGTGTGTACAGTATTTTACATCCAACTTGCGTCAATGCCTTCTTCCTAGATGTCTCTCTTTGTGAGTATTTATGGAATTGGGAATAGGGTATGCAATATGTTGACTGTTGCTTCATGCATTTTATAGTCTGTGGAAGCTACATTTAAGTGTGTTTGTTTCCTTTCTCATAAATTGTCCCTCTTCATTTCCTTTTTCAAGCTTTATGCCCATTAAACCTTGATTCTTCCTTCTCCCTCCCTTCCAGACCTTGGCAACCACCTTTCTACTTGACACTTGATGAGTACTTATAACAACTTTAGATACTTTATATGAGTAGAATCACGGTACTTGTCATTCTTTGACTAGCGTATTTCACTTGATATCATGTCCTCAGTGTTCTCTTATGTTCTAGCATGTGACAGGGTCTCATTTTTTAAGGCTGCATAATATTCCATTGTATGTGTAATCCACATTTTCTTTATCCCGTTTATCTGTTGAAGGGCATTTGGGTTGTTTCTACCTTTTGGCTATTGTATATGCTACAGTGAACATGGGTGTGCAAATATCTCTTCAAGGTCCTTTGAATTATTTTGGGTATATAGCCCAGAAGGAGGAGTTTTTTAATTTTTGAGGAACTTCCATATTGTTTTTCTGTAAGGGCTATACATTTTACTTTCTGATACTACCAGCAGTACACCAGGGTTCTAATTTCTCTGTATATTCATCACTTTTCTCTTCTTCTTTTTTTTTTAATTAATTAATTTATTTATTTATTTTGAGAGAGAGAGACACACACACACACAGAGGCAGAGAGGCAGAGAGTGGAGAGACAGAATCCTAAGCAGGCTCTGCACCATGAGCACAGAGCCCGATGCAGGACTCGAACTCAAGAACCAATAAGATCATGACCTTAGCTGAAGTCAAGAGTCAGACACTTAACCCACTGAGCCACCCAGGTGCCCCTCACTTGTTTTCTGCTCTTTTGTTAGTGATTATCTAAATGGGTGTGAGGTAATATCTCACTGTGGTTTTGATTTGCATTCCTCTGATGATTAGTGATACTGAACATCTTTTCATATGCTTTTGGCCATTTATATATTTTCTTTGTAGAACTGTCTATTCAAGTTTTGCCCATTTTTGAAATGGGTCATTTTTGCTTTCAATTTTTTAAAAATGTTTTTTATTTATTATTTTGGGAAAGAGAGAGAGAAAGGGACAGAGCGCAAACGGGAGGGGCAGAGAGAGGGGGGAGACACAGAATCCAAAGCAGGCTCCAGGCTCTGACCTGTCAGCACAGAGCCCAACACAGGGCTCAAACCTACAAACTAAGATCCTGACCTGAGCTGAAGTCAGATGCTCAACTGACTGAGCCACCTGGGCGCCCCTAGTTTGAGTTGTAGGAGTTACACTATTTTGTAGGTTGCCTTTCATTCTGTTGATTGTTTCCTTTGGTGCGCAGAATTTTTGAGATTAATATAGTCCTATTTGTCTGTTTTGCTTTTGGTGTCATATCCAAGAAATCATTGCCAAATCCAATGTCCTGAAGTTTTTTCACTATGTTTTCTTCTAGGAGTTTTGTTTCAGGTCTTATGTTTAAGTCTTTAATCCATTTTGAGTTATTTTTGTATATGGTGTAAGATTACTGTCTAACTTTGTTCTTTTGTATGTGGATATCCAGTTTTTCTGGCACCATTTGTTGAAGACACTGCCCTTTCCCTATTGTGTGGTCTTGGCACCCTTATGGAAGGTCATTTGACCATATACATGAGAGTTTATTTCTGGGCTCTCTGTTACATTGGACTGTATGTCTTTATGCCAGTACCACTCTGTCTTAATTACTGTTACTTTGTGGTATATTTTGAAATCAGGAAGTGTGAGGCCCCCAACTTAAAAAAAAAAATCTTTTTTTTAAAGATTATTTTGGCCATTTGTGGTCCTTTGAGCTTACATATCAATTTTAAGATTGTTTTTCTATTTCTGTACAGAATGCCATTGGGATTTTGATAGGTATTACATTAAATTTATAGATCAGTTTGAATAGTTATGAACATTTCAACAATATTAAATCTTCCAATTTATGGACATGATGTCTATTTATTTGTATCTTCTTTTGATTTTTTTTTGTAATGTTTTGTAGTTTTCAGTGTACAAATCTTTCACTTCTTTGGTTAAATTTATTCCTATGTATTCTTTTTTGTAAATGGGATTGTTTTCTTAATTTCCTGTCCAGATTGTTCATTGTTAATGTGTAGAAATGCAACTGATTTTTGTACATTTATTTTTGTATCCTGCAACGGTGCTGAAATTGTTTTAGTTTAACAGTTTTTTATGTGAGTGTGGAGTCTTAGAATTGAATTTTATGTGAGTGTGGAGTTGTGTCATGCAAACAGATAATTATACTTCTTCATTTCCAGTTTGGGTGCCTTTTATTTCTTTTTCTTGTCTAATTGATCATCATGTGAGTGTTCAGAATGTCCCCCTTATCAAATGCTTGTTGGTGTAATGGTGATGTCTCACAGGTAGGATCTAGCTACCTGTACAGTTGTGAACACCTGGCATTTAGATTAGTGTTTCTAGTCCTACCAGATTTATGTTGGTAAGAAACATACTTCGGGACTGTGTTGGATAGAAATGCCAAGAGTGGGCATCCTTGCCTTTTCCCTGATCTTTGAGGAAAAGCTTTCAGTCTTTCACCATTAAGTATGATGTTAGCTGTGGGCTTTTTGTATATGGCCTTTAATATGTTTAGATAGTTCCTTGTGTTCCTAGTTCATTGAATGTTTTTATCATGAAAGGGTATTGATTTTGTCAAGCGATCTTTCTGCATCGAGATGATCTCATGGTTTTTGTCCTTCATTCTGTTAATGTGGTATTTTAAATCATTTGAGTTTTGTATGTTGAAACATCTTTGCATTCCAGATACACATCCAGCTTGATCATAGTGTATAATCCTTTTAATGCACTACTGAATTCAATTTGTTAGTATTTTGTTGAGGATTTTTGCATCAGTATTCATCAGGGATGTTAGTCTGTCATTTTATTTTTTTGCAGACTCCTTTTCTGGTTTTGGTATCAGAATAGTGCTGGTTTCAAAGAAATTTGGAAGTTCCCCCTTAATTGTTGGGAAGAATTTGATGAGCATTGGTGTTTATTCTTTAAATGTTGGGTAGAATTCTCCAGCAAAGCCATCTGGTCCTGGGCTTTTCTTTATTGGAAGGTTTTCGATTGCTGTTTTAATCCCCTTAGTAGTTAGTTATAGGCTTAGATTTTCTGTTTCCTCATGGTTCGGTCCATGAGGAAATGCCATTTCTTCTGGGTTAACCAATATGTTGGCGTATAATTGTTCATACTGTTCTCTTGTAATCCTTTTTATTTTTGTGACATAAGTTTTAATGTCCTCGCTTTCATATCTGATTTCAGTTACTTGCATTTTATCTTTTATTCTTTTTTTTTCACTTTTTTTTCCTAATCTAGGTGAGGGCTTGTCAATTTTGTTGATCTGCTCAAAACACCAACTTAGTTTTTTTTTTCTATTGTTTGTTTTTTTTCTATTGTTTTTCTATTCTCCATTTCATTTAGCTCTGTTTCAAATTTTTCTTTTTTAATGTTTATTTTTGAGAGACACAGAGAGAGGGACAGAGCACGAGCAGAGAAAGGGCAGAGAGAGAGAGAGAGAGAGAGAGAGAGAGAGAGACATAGAATCCAAAGCAGGCTCCAGGCTCTGAGATGTCAGCACAGAGCCTGATGTGGGCCTGAACTCATGAACTGTGAGATCATGACCTGACTTTTAGCTCTGCTTTAATCTTTATTGTTTCCTTCCTTCTTCTAACTTTTGGTTGAGTTTGTTCTTCTTTTTCTAGTTCCTTGAGGAACTAGAGTGTGTTGATTTTGAGACTTTAGTGTTTACTGCTATAAATTTCCCTCTTAGTATTGCTTTTGTAGCATCCCATAAATTTTGGTATGTTGTGTTTCACTTTTAATTTGTCAGATATTTTCTTTCTTTTTAAAATTTTTTCAATATTTATTTATTTTTGAGAGAGAGCAAGCATGAGTTCGGGAGGGGCAGAGAGGGAGACACAGAATCTGAAGCAGGCTCCAAGCTCTGAGCTGTTAGCACACAGTCTGACACGGGGCTTGAACCCATTAACTATGAGATCATGATCTGAGCCCAAGTCTGACACTTAACTGACTGAGCCACCAGGTGCTCCATTGTCAGATATTTTCTAATTTCTCTTGTGACTTCTTCTTTGAGCCCCAAATGTATTTTTACTTAAAAGTTTATGGAATATAAAATGATCTCAGGGTTTGGTTATCAGGGGAATACAAATACGGGATTATAGATTCTATTAAAATGGCAATAACCTGGATTGTATATTTCTTATTTCTAGGGCTTCTTCTATTTGTATGTTTAAAAAAAGGAAGGGTGAGGATTCTATTGAGCTAGGAAATAGTGAACAAAAAAGGTGCTATTTTTTTTTTTTTAACTTTAGAGGGAGATTGCACAAGTTGGGGAGAGGGGCAGAGGGAGAGAGAGGGAGGGAGGGAGGGAGAGAGGGGGAGAGAGAGAGAGAGACAGAGAGAGAGACTGACTTTTTTTTTAAATTTTTTTTTCAACATTTATTTATTTTTGGGACAGAGAGAGACAGAGCATGAACGGGGGAGGGAGAGAGACTGACTCTTAAGCAGGCTCCATGCTGAGCAGGGCTTGATCCTACAACCCTGGGATCATGACTTGAGCTGAAATCAAGAGTTGGTTGCTCAACCAAATGAGCCACCCAGGTGCCCCCAAAAGGTGCTGTTTTAACAGACAGTAACCATCCACTGAGTACAAACCACTGTACTTGGCACTGGAGATTGAGAAGTACAGAAGACATCATCTCTGTCCTGATTTTCATTTTTTTTTTTTTTTTGAAAGAGAGTGAGAGAGTACATGCATGTGTGAGCAGGGGAGGGGCAGAGGGAGAGGGGGAGGGGGAATCTTAAGCAGGCTCCATGCCTAGTGCAGCCGGGCTCCATCTCAAGACTGCAAGATCATGACCTGAGCCGATATCAAGAGTTGGATGCTTAACTTACTGAGCCACCCAGGCATCCCAAGAAAGGAACAACCATGAAGGGACTAATTTTCAGGGTTTTTTTTTTTTTAAGTTTGTTTATTTTGAGAGAGAGAGAGAGAGAGAGAGAGAGAGAGTGAATGAATCCCAAACGGGCTCTGCACTGTGAGATCATGACCTGAGTCGAAATCAAGAGTCAGACACTTAACTGACTGAGCCACCCAGGCACCCCTAGTGTTCAGTTTTATATGAAGGATGAAATTAGGCTGATGGTAACTCAGTAACTTAATGAGAAGCTTGGCAGAGAAAACCAGCATTTAGGAGCATTGCCATGTTTACTGTCTGCCGATTGCTGCCTTCAGTTATTTAACACTTACTACCTTTAAAAAACTTGCTTTTTTCACTAGGCACAACACCATCACTGGGCGGTGGCTGACCAGGTTCCAGGCTGTGTGGGACCCTAAACAAGAAGACTGTGTCATAGTTGGCAGCATGGCTCATCCACGACGGGTGGAAATCTTCCATGAGACAGGAAAGCAGGTGCATTCTTTTTTTGGTGGAGAATGCCTTGTCTCTGTGTGTTCCATCAATGCTATGCACCCAACTCGGTATATTTTGGCTGGAGGCAATTCCAGTGGGAAGATACATGTTTTTATGAATTAAGAAAGTTGCTGAGTGTTTGGTTGAGCAACACCAATTTGTTCAAATCAGTGTCTAAGTAGCCTAGTAATTCATGTGCCTTGGTCTGTTTACTTGTTCATATGTTCTTCTTAGCAAATATAAAATTGCTTTATTAGTAAGAACTGTGAGCAGAATGTACTTTTAGTAAGGGAGAAGGCTTTTAAGTTGTTTCTGTAGGTTGGGGAGGGAATTTGAGGGGAGGCTATGATTGCTTCAGCACTTTAATCAGGCAGTATATTGAGAAATTCTAGCATTATAAATTACAAAGCTTTGGTTATTATTAAAAGTTTTTGTGGTTTAATGATACGGGTTTTGATAGTGACATTTGGATTTGTGGTTTATTTTATAGTTTGGAGTGAATATTTATTTCTAGACTCATATACTGGAAGAGATCCTAACTTAGTGATTTTCAAACTTTTGATTTTTTTAAATAGAGAGCTCTTTTTTCCCCCCGCCTTTAAATTCATTGTTATGTGAAATCCCAAGATAATTTTTGAGAAGCCTTAGTTGACTTGGGCAGGGCCTGGGTCTGTGTGTGCTGACCCTTTGATCTCCTCTAGATGGCTCTTGAGACATGGCTGAGGAATTCTAGGTCTTCTAGGAACAAGGTTTGGATCTGCCTGACCCTTGTAAGTCAGGGTAAGATTGCCTTCAGACCAGTGTTTTCCACACTGTGGTTTATAGCTATTCACATGAAATCAGTTTAGCCATGACCAGAGTTTAAAAAAAGGAAAAGGAAAGAAATAGTAAAGAATAGGAAACATAGAGTAAGGGTTGTTTTGTGAAACTTAGTTATATATGCGTGCATATTTGTACGTATATATGCACATGTATATTCTGATGTAAAATATATGTCTTTATTATTGTGGTACTGCTGTAGGTCATGGTTTAAGAAGTGAAAGCTCCTGCCTTAGAACGTCTCAGATACACTTACCTATCCCTGTCTTTAAACTCTCCAGAGGAGATTCATTATCTTCTTAAGTGAATACCTTCATTCCTAATTCATATTTGGAGGAAATGTTATGAAAAATGACTTTTGGTATTTTTTGTCATAAATTTTTTTTTCCAGAAGTTAGGGCAATTTGAAAGTGTTTGTTGTTGGAAGGGTAGCTACAAAATCAGTGACTGACATTACTGTAAGATATTACCTTTTTGCTAGATATTTACCTTGTTGCTCTTCAGTGACAAACTACTACTGAAGGACTATTATAGTTTTTGGCAATATGTTTGAATTCTAAGAGGAAATGTCTTCTCAAATTGTGTATCACAGAAATAAAGTCACATGTATAATTTCCTTCTCTGTAATTATTGAGGCCTAGTTTATTAAATAGGTTATAAGTAATAAGAATTGTTTTCTTGATGAGAGGATTATAGAAATTGGTAAGTGAAATGGAAATATTCATTTATGAAATGGAAGGGAAAGCTAAGTGAGGTTGACTTCTATTAAACTGCCCTGGAGATAATAAATGAAGCCTGTAGGCTACTTTCCCTTTTCTTTTCTTTTCTTTTCTTTTCTTTTCTTTTCTTTTCTTTTCTTTTCTCTTTTCTTTTCTTTTCTTTTCTTTTCTTTCCCTTTCCCTTTCCCTTTCCCTTTCCCTTTCCCTTTTCTACACCACTTCATTTCACAGGTCCCAGAGTGTGGCTACTTTTGTGAAAAGTGCTCTTTTTTAAAGATATTGAAAAATACTCTCATTGAAATTAGTACCATCATTTAAGCTTTGAATCCTTGGTAGTAATTGCCCGGTTTCTGCAATAAATGTTAGCAAATTCTTGATGTTTGTCACTTTTGTGGTTTCTTTTGCCATTTTAGCTTCATAAACTGTAGTATTTATATCTAATTCCAGTTAATAGAGTTCTGTCTTCTTGATGCAATGCAGGAAGGAAGGAGAGTGAGTGGGGACTTGTTTCTCAGTGATAAGCTCTATAATGGAGTAATTGTTTAAATCTACAAAGCACATAAAGGAAAATTGTCTCCCTTAGGACATCCTTAAACTGTAATCTGTTGTGAAAGGTACTTCTCCCAGAGACTTGCTTAAAGCTTTATGGCTTCTGTAATTATTCGTATGTTATGATTGCTTTCTCTCTTTTTTTAAGTTGGGCTTTATGATATCCCTTAAGCACGTAAGCTCTGTATTGAGTCATTTTCTTTGAGATGCCCATCCTTTTATGCTCTTAAGGAGGAAGGAGACGATTCTCAGGCGGACAGGGACTTGGTCAAACTCGGAGAGACTTAAAAATGATTAGGAATTAATAAATCTTAGTTCCTTAAGTCCTGTTTTGGTATTCATGCCTTTGAGTTTCCTTTCCACAGAGATGACTTTGCAAAGGCAGTTCTCCAGGAAAGCAGGGAGCTTGGGGCTGTGTACACAAAGATTTAAATCCTTTCAGTCAGTTATAGTACATGGGGAGGGAGGAGGGCAGACACAGGTATCTTCTGTATCAACCCAAGAGGAAGCAATATATGCCCTTTAACTTCAGGTTCCAAAAACTTAGGTGTCCTTTTGCTAGGCTGTCCCTTCTGATTTAGTACATTTTTTTGGTTTTTCCTTTTTAGTATGGTATTGATGGCCAGTAAGGAGTTTTAGTTCCAGGACAGCATAAACCCATATTTTGGTTCATTTGGTTATAAGTGTTTTTGGATTTTCAAATGAAAAGGTGAAATTTTGTGAGGAAGATAACATTTAGCACAGAGGCAGGAGTAAAACATTTTAAGGTACCTCTTCCTAAAATGAAAGCAGTGCAAGAGGAAGTGTTTTAAAAGTATCTTTTGCCTGTTTGATTCTACTCCATCGGCAAGTTGTAGGGGTGTGTAGAGGAAGCCTGTTCATGTGCTAAAACCAGGAGTGTATTCTCTTGTAGAGGGGCCTGCTGATGGTTGAGGAACCCTAAGCAGAGGGAGTGGGTGCTAGAGCCCTGAAAGGGTCTGTACATAGGGGGTCCTCATTAAGTATCCATAGAAGAGTGGCTGCCTTAAAGCTGTAGGATCATGGGGGCACCTGGGTGGCTTAGTTAAGCATCCAACTTCGGCTCAGGTCATGATCTCACGGTCCATGAGTTTGAACCCCATGTTGGGCCCTGTGCTGACAGCACAGAGCCTGGAGTCTGCTTTGGATTCTGTGTCCACTTTCTCTGCCTCTCCCCATCTTGCACTGGGGGAAAATAATAAACAAATGTTAAATAAATGTTAAAAAAACTGTAGGATCATGGGAAATCACCACTCACATCCAGTGGTTCTTAGGCTTTTCTTTTTTGTTTTTAGAGAGCTTTTTTTCTTTTTTAGAAAATGGTGGGGGAGAATGGCAGAGGGAGAGAGAATCTTAAGTAGGCTCCACACTCTGCACTGAATCCTACGACCCTAGCATCATGACCTGAACTGAAATCAAGAGCTGGACACTCAACTTACTGAGCCACCCAGGCACCCCTGTTTCTTAGGCTTTTTACTTTGCAGATCACTTTAAGGAAAGACTTTGTCATCAGAAACAAAAACAAAACTCCACTAGGGACAGGATATTAGATAATCACTTTATAGGTGATAGGAACCTCTGAAAATTTCGAGGTGGGTTACATAACATGATTGGTGCTTTAGGAAGATGATCTGGTAGCAGAATGGAGCATTAAAGGGCAGATAGAATTGAAAACAGGAAGATTAGGTAAGAAACTAGCACAAGTTTCACTTTTCATCCTCATGGAATTTAAAAGACCATTACCAGTTTTGTAGCCAGAGTGATGGTTATATAATCAGGTGAGATAATGCTATAGGAATATATTTTGTAAGTTGTAATTATCAGGTTACTGTAGCAGTGACACCATTCTATTCCCTTCATAGGAAATGTTTTCTGTTCTTGTTCCAGGCTTGAGTGAGAACACTGGTCTAGAAGCTGGACCATCTAGGTTCTTGTTTATAAAAAAACTTTTATTTTGAGAGAGGAGGGGAAGGGCAGGGAGAGAGAGAATCTTAAGCAGGCTCAGCACAGTCAGTGTGGAGCCAGATGCAGGGCTCCATCCCACAGACTGTGAGACCATTACCTGAGTTGAAATCAAGAGTTGATGCTTAACTGATTGAGCCACCCAGCTGCCCCTAAGATTTTATTTTCTTGAGTAATTTCTACACTCAATGTAGGGCTCAAACTCACAACCTCAAGATCTCATGCTCTACTTATCGAGCCAGCCAGGCACCCTGGACCATCTTGGTTCTACTTTTGGCTCTATGTAGCCTTAGGAAAAATCACTCCTTGGTTTTCCTCAACAGAAAAATGAGGTCCAATTCATCTCTAAAATCATTCTATTATTACAGTTTCCACGTTTTTAGTAGTATTTATTTTGGGGGAAAGGTCAAGGATGATAGATGGATATAAGCAAAATGACTATTACTATTTTTTTTTGAGAGAGAGAATATTAAGTAGGCTCCATGCCCAGTGTGGAGCCCAACCTCATGACTATGAGATCATGGCTTGAGCCAAAATTAAGAGTTGGATGCTTGACTGAGGCAACCAGGTGCCCCAATAAAATGACTATTTTAAATGATTCTAGTCATGAACAGCAGTCAGCTGTATAAATCCCCCTGGTATCCTTTTATCTCTGTGTTGGTAACTTTAAGGAGGAAAAAGGGAGACCAGTTGTAGGTTAAAAAAGAGTCCACTCTTCAATGATATTTAAATATTTATTTAAGTTTAAAAATAATTTTCATGGCACCAATGATTTTATGCTAACTACATACTGCATATGTAGAAAAAAGTACATTGCTTTGAAGGAAAGTATAACTTAGAATTTTTGGCACACGAAAGGTTTACAACTATACTTTTTAATGAAACTAAGAAATTCACATTTGCAGGTAGTTTACCTTCTACTGCTTAAAGATGCAGTACACTATTCTTTAGTAAGAGTTTTATTTCCTCTGATGGATGAAGCTATGGAATCCATTGTTTTTTTCTACAATGAGATCAAACTAATTTTGAGAGAAAATGGGAGACATAGTGGAACACAGTAAAACCAGGTTAAAAATCTGAACAATGTTTAACGATGGGGAGATACCAAAAAGACTAGTCACCAACAAAGGAGGTTTGTTATTCAAGCGCTACTTGAAAAGCAAATTGAAGGAAATTTTACTATCTGTATTTTCTGGGGTAAGCCCTGGAAAAAAATAACCCAAAAGTTTCTGTTCAGAGAGCAAAATCCAGCTGTTGGAAGTGGTATGGACTATTGTACTGTTAGAACTCTAGACACAAGTAACATACCGGGAAATGGAATATTGTATCTCTCTTTAATGTGAATATGAAAGGTCACTGTCAAGGTTATCACTCACTGCATAGAAACACCATATTCTACAGACTGAGGTAGGAACACTACACTAAAAGGTAATCTGCTATGTTGCATAAGACAGTAGATATCCAGGTTAAAACCAGCCCCCTATCTCCTGACAGCCTTTTCATCTCTGAGTCTACTTTTCACTTCAGTCCTGTGCTAAATAAAGCCTTCCTGTGTAGATGACAAGTGGCAGTGGATAGTTGGTTCTAAGTGATCCCTAAGTTTTACTAGGATCTCCTTCAGTTTGTCTTGTCACTTGGTAAATAGATGTTTAATTCTGCCCTAGTTGTCGCTGGTATGGAAATGATCAGACATTCCTCTTCCATTCTTAGCTTCTGGTGGAGTTTTAGCATTTAAACACTTGATCTTGCTCATCTTGGCATCAGTTACCTCTTTGCTGGTTGGTTGTTCAAGCACCCTTTAAACAAGCAACCCCAGTGCCTCCACTGGGAAATGGTCCTGGGCCTTTAGCAAGTCAGGAATGGGAGCAGAGCCGACCCCCTTTCTGCTAACATACTGGTAAGGAGCAGTTTTATTGTCTAGATTGGGGTTGGCAAATTATGGCCTGTGGTCCAAATTCAGCTGTCTTTTTAAAAATAAACTGTTATAGAACACAGCCATGTTTCCTTGTTATGTATTACCTATGGCTGTTTTTGTGCTATGATGGCAGAGTTGAGTAGTTGCCACAGAGTATGGCCCACAAAACCAAAATAAAAAAAATATGTACTGACACTTTACAGAAGAAGTTTGCCAACCCCTGGTCTAGATGAAAGGGCATTTAGAATTGTACAATCCACTCCCCCCACCCTGTACCCCGTCAATTCCATGTCTGTTATACTCTGTACATGGACATGATTCTGCTATTTCAGGGGACAAATTAGGGGAGAGCAAATCTTCAAGTGACTCATCCTTTTCTGCATTTGGGGCTGCCCAACATCACGTGATGTTAGCAGCCACTCCACTATTGTGTGGGTCCCAGGAATATGTCTACGGACTATCCTTAAATAAGTCCTCAGGCCCCAGATGACTTAGAAATCTCTCCCTGAGATGAAAACGAGATCTTGTATGTGAGTGGTTGTTAAGAGTTGCAGAGCGTGGGCCTTGGACCCCACACTCACCCTTCACATGCTATGCTTTGCATGCTTCCACAGCTTCCCTCAGCAAGAATGGCAAATACTTTCCTACAACTCTTATTTTCCTGATGCAGAGGATGACCCTAGGGGGCAGTATTTCTACATCTAATTGTTGGTTTCTGCCACGTTTGCTTGCTTTCTTTTGTAGGCATCTTTTAGTATGCCTATTTAAAGAAATCCTTTTCTTGGTCCCTTCCAAGGCTCTTTGTTGATCTTGGAATTCTCTTTTCTGAAGCTTTTCATTCTCAAGATTAGTTTCTTTCTTGCATCATTTAGTTCATCAGGCTCTATTTTCTTAATCCATAAAGTAAAAACAAAATATGAATTGATAAGAAAATAACATCTTGTTAAAATATAAATTGAAAGTTTTTTGGGGGGGGTACAAAATAGGTACTGCTCTCTGAATCTCAACAGTTTCTGAGGTACCTAAGTTCTCGTTTCTGTTAACTACACTTTGTCCGACATTTCTGACAGTCTTATCTCAGGCACCACTGAATTCAACTAATGTCTCTGAAGCACTATAAAAATCTTGAGGTTCTTCAGGAAAAAAAAAATCACAGAAGTCTAAGTTCATTATATAAAACTCATGGCGATGCCCACTAGGATCTCTAGTCTAAGGGGACAGACTTACCCCACCCCTGCTGCTGCTGCTGCGGTAGCGGTGGTCCCTTCAGATGCCCACTCTGCTCAGATTTGAAAAAAACAAAAGGAAAAGAAAATCCAACTCAGACCATCATAAGAAGCAACTTTCCATTTAATCATTCTACATGGATGTTTACTTTTTTCAAATCTCGTCTGGCAGGAAAACCTACAGATAGTTCCCATTGTCCAGACCCCTGGCCTGTGCTGCTGAGGCTGCACTGATGAGCCTACTGGAGCCCAGTAGGAAAGCTCCCGCACAATACAGAAGACGACAGCTCTCTAGTCTTCAACTAGTGTCCCATCTGCTAGGTGACACTACTGCGATAATCCGTAATAGTAAAATAAATTATTTTTATTTGATACTTTCAAAATAATACACATCTATGAAAAATCAAAATTCAAAACCAAAAATTATCCTGCAAATCGGGAGGATGAGAAACAGAGTCGCTGAGCCTTTCTTGAAAGAACCTCTGAAGGAAATGAGTTTTCCCAGTTTGTTTAGATAGGGCATGAGCCTATCCTCTTTTTCTTCTGGGAAATGACCCTCCTAGGCTGTGGACTTTGAGTCATGAGAGGAGGAGTTGGTACATGTGCCGATGGTTCCGCGATGGGTCCCATTGCTGGGAATGGGTAGCCGGGCTCCTTGGTCCACCTGGCTAGTTATTGGGAGGAGTCATGCCTTCTCAGGTGTCAATGAGCAGGCTCACCACTGAGCGGATTTTGCAGGCAAACCATCGCCTGAGGGGACAAAAGTATTGATAGTGGAATTGTTCAAACTCGGGGGTCTGGCGGATATCGCGGAAAAAGGCAATGTCAAGGTCAGACTCGGTAAGGATGATCAGGAGGAGGAGCAAAACAAAGAGGAGTCCCATGGTCACAAGGAGCAAACGGAGGACACTTAAAACAAACTTATTCACCTGTTCCTCCTCTGGCCTGCCGTGCCCCTGACACAGGGCCCTCAGCTCTCCCCCAAGGGCCTCCACCTCTGTAGCTGTTGGAGTGCTGGCTTCAGACTCCTTCTCTTCTTCGATGCTGCAGGTGGCCCCATTGATCTGCCGGGAAAGCAACATCAGCTCCAGGCTGTGCTCAGCCACAGGGGTGGGCAGCACACTGTCTGCAGGACTGTAGGCTTCGTCTGCAATCACGGCGACTCGCTCATTGCTATCTGCCCGGCTGCTTCTCACATGAGGCAGGAAGGTGTCCCCGTGGGAGGAGGAACGCACTGGCGTGGAATGGGCACTGTCCCGGAGGGACTCGAGGCCTGGAAATGCAAAAGGAACGTGAGAAGGCTTTCTGGGTCCCTGTGCACACTTTGCTGTCTGGTGGAGGCAGCACCCATTCTGTTTTATATGGTAACTAAAATCTTGGAAGGAAGCCCCCCTGTACACTTCACGTGACAGTGGCTGCTGCATGCTGTTCTGATGTATCAGGAAGAGGATAAGACAAGCAGCAGACATCAGAGGGGCCATGGTTGGAGGTTTTTTTCTTTTTACGTAGGGTTTTGGCAAAATTTGTCAAAGATTCTGCCTTTCCTGCTTTTGACGTCAATTGAAAGACATTCTGAATTGCATACCATCCCTGATTCAGAGCTGGGGCCACATTTCAGGGAGCTCAAGTCTCCCTCTTGGGCTGAGGATCTTAAGAGGCAGGAATGGGGAGGAAAAGACTGTTTTCCTTCACTAGGGCTCATGAAATACTGATTCTGGAGCTGAGTGCCCTTCTAACAACCCAGCATGCAGCTCCTTGAGTTCATGAGGTCATCTTTTGGATTTCTGCAGTTGTGCTCTGTCTGTTCAGCCTCCCACTTCTGGCTGTCCTAATCTTAGGGGACATTAAAACCCTATCTGCTCTTCCTAAGTGGTTTCTTTTTTTTTTTTTTTTAATGTTTATTTTTGAGAGAGAGTGTGCATGTGCACATACACATGTGCATGCATGAGCAGGGGAGGGCAGAGAGAGAGGGACAGAGAGAATCCCAAGCAGGCTCCACACTCAGCACAGAGCCCAATTCTGGGCTTGATCTCATGACCTGGAGATGTGACCTGAGCCGAAGTCAATTGTCAGATTCTTAGTCAACTGGGCCACCCAGGCACCCCTCTTCCTAAGTGTTTTCTGATGGAGAAGGGGAATAGCCCTTGGCTAGTGGCTCCTTATTTTTACTTTAGAATGAGCTGGGTCTACTGTAGGCTGACACATCCCCTATCTTTACACACTCCAAACTGCAGCGTGGTCTCTGAGAACATCTTGTTGGGTCAGGGTGGAAATTCTCTTACAATGGTCAGGAGAAAGTGTTCTCCGACCCCCTAAAACTACCCATTATCTCTCTACTTTTTCAGATGGAACATTTCTCTCTTTACAGTGCTCAGTCTCTGGTAGCAAAAAACAGGAGGTGGTTACTCCCTCAACTAAATAGTAGCCATGGAGGCTAGAAGATGTGGGCCTGGAGTCACCGAGTATGGCCCACATCACAATGCTCTCGAGGAAATGGCTTCTTGTTTCAGGTTCAGTGTCTGCATTTTCATTCCTGGCTATCTTTGGGGTGCCAGAGTGGCTCTGACTCTCCCTGCCTTTGCGGCCTATGGTAAGAGAAGCCAGTTCCCTTCTGTTGCTCTGAAATTGACCCTGAATTGCTGCAGACTAGATCAGATTCCCAGCTATGTAAAGGCTTGACCAAATAAGGGTTGATTAGGGCTAGCTTCATAAGCCCAAGGGTCTCTCTCTTCGCTTTTTGAATGTTGATTTATTTTGAGAGCACAAGCAGAGGAGAGGCAGAGAGAGAGGTAGAGAGAGAATCTCTGCACTGTCAGCCCAGAGACCTATGTGGGGCTTGGTCTCACAAACCGTGAGATCATGAACTGAGCCAAAATCAAGAGTCAAATGCTTAACCAACTGAGCCACCCAGGCGCCGCTGCCCTCCCCCCCTCCCCGCCCAAAGGTCTCTCTTAAAAGGTGGCAGTAACCTTTCAGAAGTAGTGAGTTGTGTTTGGGTCTCTTGAGTAGCCATTTGCTCCCAGGCAGTCTGCCTGCTCAGCCAGCTGGAGCCCATCGACACAGTTAAGGATTCTCCAGAGGAACAAATCCTGGGATTGGTTACAAATGTGGGGTGGGTTGGGGCAGGAACAGCAGCCCCCTGCTAGCCACCTAGTCTCCCCATCACCTCACCATCAGTAAGTATATTTGCCACAGCTTTCAGCTTCTGCTTTCAGAAGCTCCTCATGGTCCTGGTTTTATTTTTTCCCCCCTTGTGCTAAAATCTTACATATGTATACTATTTTAAACTTTTTTAAGTGCTTTCATTTTATCTTTCCACGAAGTAATGAAAGCAAGAGGTTACAGAGCTTGCCTGAAGTCATGTGGTTGGTTGGTGATGGCAAAGGTAAGGATGGACTCCAAGCCTCTTTCTATTTCCTGGTGCTAATGATCATGTAGTTGGATTCTGGGCCTGGATGAATTAAGTCAACATCTTACACCTACTTTAGATTTAGGTCCCAATTGCCCAAGAAACTGTTGTGAAATAATGTGAAATTAAGAGCCAGCCCCTTGTTCCAGTGCTCTTGATGCTCCTTTGATCCTTTCCCCCCAGTTTTTTCCCCTTATTCCTGCATTTGCACAAGCAGCATGAGGAATATGAACCTGGGAATGTTTAATAAGTTCCTGATAAAACAAATCTTGAGGCCCTGATCACACATGTTGTTGGCTCCTCTGCTCCTCCCTCTCTTCCTTCCATTTTTATTTAAATTCTAGTTAGTTAACATACAGTGCAATATTGGTTTCAGGAATAGAATTCAGTGATTTATCACTAACATACAACAACCAGTGCTCATCACAAGTACCCTCCTTAATGCCCATCACACATCTAGCCCATCCCCCCATCAACCCTCAGTTTGTTCTCTATCTTTAAGAGTCTCTCATGGTTTGTTTCCCCTCTCTTTCTCTTTTTTCCCCCCTCCCATATGTTCATCTGTTTTGTTTCTTAAACTCCACATAATCCTCATACCCTTTCTAGAGGCTGTCCCCTCACAAAGACAGCTATGACTGTCAGATATTCCACAGTATGACCAGCTTAGCTGCTGAAGCCACTTCAGTGCATTTCAGCTTAGCCTACTATTCAGCCCTAAGCTTGGAGGGGAAGGAGAGAGGCAAAGGCTGTTATATCAGAGAGAACAGATCAGAGGGACACCAGAAACCACATTATAATAAGTTGTTGGTGCTCTTAGTAAATAAGATAATGGAAATGTATGCATTTCTAGTAGACTGCTAGACAAACAAAATTACTCAGTAAATGTTAGTCTTCTGTTCCCTCAACAGACCTCACCTGTATGTATGTCAGACTAGTCTTGTACAAAACTTCAGGTTCACTAGAAGTCACCACCCACCCCAACCCCTTCATCAAACCTGTTACTGTGGGATGGAGGGGGTGGGTACCGTGGGTGGGTGGGATCTGGCAAATGGCACAGCAAAACAGAGGATTCTTTTTTACCTTGGATATGTTCCAGCTGCTTGCCTTGCCCAGAGGTGGCTCCCTGTGGGCCAGGGGACACAGTGGTCAGGAGCCTCCCCTGGAGCCGGGGTCCCATCCTCAGTATGCGCACACTTAGTGGCCGAAGGCAATGATTAGTCAACCGGAGCTGAACTCGGACTCTGGTGTGAATCTTAATCAGACTCTTCCCCATGGTCGCCCAGGAAAGCAGATACTTCTTCAGTGGAAACCAGCTGATCTCTTCAAGGAAACCAGCCAGGCAGGGGAGATACAGAGGCAAAGGATGGAAAAACAACTAGGGACAAAGGATTTTTGCTGACCTCATGCATAGCAGCTCCTTTACAGTGCCTCCCGTGCTGGAGAGAGGATGTCAGCTCTGGAGACAAAGTAGGCTGAGCTTCAGGGAACGAACAACTCTGAGAGGCTGACATTATCAGTGGACTGGATTCAGTCAGAAGCACTTAGAGCCATAAAAAGTAATGCTTCTCCAGCAATGTGGCTGTTTCCTGGAGGCCTGTGTAAGGGCCCCAGACTTCTCAGAGTCAGGTGTAGAGAGGGCAAAGAACAATCCCACAGGGTATGGAGAATCACATAGTTCCAGAAAATGCAGGATGTGAAGTTATAAAGACATTTGGCTTTGGGTTGGGTGGCTCTGAAGTGTGAGGTGTCAGCTCTGGGGCAGGAAACGGAGTGTGTCCCATCCTCTGCTGGGCTGTACACTGTTGGGCCTTCTGTTGCTGAGCCAACCCTCAGGGTGCAGCAGATAAGAGGAACCAACATACCTGAGCATCCTCTCTGGTCAATCCTGTGCTAATAACATGTGGTATCTCAGCATCCCTGAGGGCAGAGGGGAAGGCCAAGCAGTGTGCAGTTATCTTCTTAAGGATCCCAGCTCATTGGAATCACATAGTTTCATTTGTATTGTAGTGTTATATTAATGTTTTTGCAATTTTCCCATTTTATTTTTATTAAAAAATTTTTTTTTACATTTATTTATTTTTTGAGAGACCTAGAGCACAAGCAGGGGAGGGGCAGAGAGAGAGGGGGAGACACAGAATCGGAAGCAGACTCCAGTCTACGAGCTGTCAGCACAGAGCCTGACGTGGGGCTCGAACTCACAAACGGTGAAAGAGCCACCCAGGTGCCCCTGCAATTTTCCCGTTGTTTTAGAGATAGTAAACAAATATTTCCCTCTGGAAAAGGCAAATCATTTCTGTGATAGTATGTGCCATATGGACTATATAGGAAAGACAGTCTCTGATGGACTATGAACCAATTTCAAATGTCCATAACTTCCTCGGAGTTTTGGTTAGCACCCTTCTTCTGAGGCCCCCATCATGCTGCACTCAGCCCTTCCCTGCCTGGTTGGGTGGACAGTGAGGGTCAGCTTTGTTTGCTGGGTGCTTTAAAGGCAAAATCCCTCTTGAGAGATGGTGTAGCTCAACTCTCTGGGAAATAATCCATTCTTTATTTCCCCAGGCTTGATAATCCCTGACCGATAGAGTAAATTAAATGCTAAAATCATTTTCTTTTCCCCACACCCAAACCAGATGTCCATCTGCCTCTCCTCACTCTGAGCCTGTTAGTGTCATTCCTGCTGGGGCAGTTCTTAGCTGCTTCTGCCTGTGCCCTCCCGAATCTACTGGGTTCCAGGTTGAAGGCCATGACTGGGGATGAAGGTTGTGCTCGTCCACAGGCAGCCTCAGGCGTGGGGTGTAAGCAGCAGTTTGGCTCTGAGTAGCATGTGGGAGCCTGCTGTGCTATAATTTGCCAGGTGTGAAGTTCTAGGAGGCTGAGATTGTGAGGGTGTGCCTTGGCCCTAGAAGTCTCTGCTTTAATAGCTTCTTTGGTAGCCTTTTCCTGCTGCATCCTCCCCTGGCATTTTACAAGCAAAGAGGACTATTTCAGATGCTGAAGAGCCTACTGCTGCTGCAGTGGGAGAAGACAGGCAGAACTGGCTGGGAACTGAGGCAGCCTCATAGCTTGTCTTGGGGGAGCTTGAGGACAGGCTTCCTGCCTTTGAGTTGTTCTGCCAACCCTGCTTTGTGGCTACTACAAATGTATTGTATTCCCACACGGATAGCCTCAGTCTTCCCTTTTCTGGGAACCTGGGTTTTACTGGACATTCTTCCATATGCTGGAGAACAAATGCACGAGGCTCTTCCCTATACCTGCATTAGTGCCAGCTTCCTTCAGAGGGTGACTTTTTCTCTAGAAGGACAGCTGTCCTGACTTTTTGCAGGAGCTTTGGGATGAACCTGGTGGCTTTAGACCTCAGGATGAATGGAAAGAAGGGCCACAAGGAGAGGAGAAAGTTATGTTTCCTCAAAAAAGAAGAAATTCATTCTACTTTCCTTAGATGAACACCCCACAAGAAGAGGGTCAGAGAGAACCGTGCTCCATTCTCCTGCTCAACCTAAGACCAGAGGAAAAGCCAGGAGGCTGTGTCTGATGACAGACCTCAATAACTTCACACCTTGCATAGTGATTATGCTTCGTAGTTCATAAGGCACCCTCCCACATCCACACTGCACTCTAGGGTGGGGGCAACAGGCTCAGAAAAATACATGGTGAGCTCTGATTTGAATCTCACCTTTTACTTCCTGACCAGGCCTCTTTGCATTATGCTTGCTGCCTGTCCAGTAAATGCTTTAATCTCTATTAAAAAAATTTTATTTTAATGTTTATTTATGAGAGAGAGGGAGACACAGAATCCGAAACAGGTTCCAGGCTCTGAGCTGTCAGCACAGAGCCTGACATGGGGCTTAAACTCACAGATCGCGAGATCATGACCTGAGCTGAAATTGGACACTTAATCGACTGAGCCACCCAGGCTCCCCAGTGCTTTAATCTCTTTCAAGTACTTCCATGTACATCAGCTTCCTCACAACTCAATGGGGACACAAGGAAAGTATCCCTACTTTACAAATAGAACAACTGGGGCACCTGGGTGGCTCAGTCAGTTAAGCGTCCGACTCTTGATTTTGGCTCAGGTCATGATCTCACGGTTCAGGAGTTCAAGTCCCACGTTGGGCTCTGTGCTGAGGGTGTTTGAGATTCTAAGTAAATAAATAAACTTAAAAACAGAACAAAACAAAAATCAAAAAGAACAACTAACATACTCAAATAATTAAGGTACTTGATGTGGTTTCTCAGCCAGGGTTCTCAACCCCTAGACTGTAGTTCTATACCAGATTTAGGTAATGCAAAGTCAGGGACACATAAAATCCTAAACACAAACCCATGATCCTCACAGGGGAGCAGCGGAATGATGTCCTTCCTAACCTATGTGGTTATTTTCATTCATCAGCATTCCCACAGAAAGGGCAAAAAGTCTTCCTTCCCCACCTTCCAGGATAGGTTTGAAGCAAACCTGCTGCTGTTCGCTGCTGCTTGAGATCTGTGGTCCTACAAAAACATCCATCTTTGGGAGTAAAAGCACTCGACTTATACCTATATCCAGCCTGGGGGCAGGTCAGTCAGTGACAATGAGGCCAATATTCCGAGAGTCTCCTAACAATATTAACTACCCAGGGACTAGAGAGGTATCAGCCTTAGCTACTGCAATATGTAGTTCAGTGAAGATACACAGACTTTGTCTCCCTGCGCCTCCCCCTGACCCCACTCCACCCCACTGCAGCCTCCTCCAAAGGGAGGGAAGGGTAGAGAGAGGTGAGGCATGTTAGATTTCCTGAGATCACATTAAAGAATTCAGATAGCAAGAGGAGAGCTTTCTACAACTGAAATAGAAGGTGGTAGCAAATACTGGAGTGCTTCAGAACCAAGAGTTTTTCATTTCTTGGTTAACTGCCTCAGTCACCTTGATTGTTTAACCTGTGGAGACTGGTCTGATCTGAAAAACAAGTGAAAAGCCTCTTGATGGAAAGCAATTTCAGAACTGCAAGGAACCTGGCATATGCAACATACATAGCCTCCCAGAGGTCTACCCCAACACTCTCAGATCTAAATCCCCTCTTGGACTACAGCTCAGCAGGGCTGGGTGGGATTACCCTTCACCTGAAACCTAGCCGGTGTTCCCATCCACTACACAAAACCTTCTCCGGTCCATTGGAGAAAAGTGCTGCTGTCTCTGCTGCATTCACTTCTTTTCAAGGTCCCTGAGAGGAACGGGTCCAAGTCAAAACTTGGAGGAACCCTGTGGTCATCTCCAGAGCTTTTGCTCACCTTCCATGATGGAGATGTGAACAGCTCTTCTCCGGGTCCTAGGGACACTGCTCAGCCTTGGGCCATGGGTTATGGAGGGACAGCTGCGGCTGGGAACCATCCCTGCTCTGAGGTTAAATGAAAAGAGAACTGTGTTAATTCAGTGCACACAACAGATGGGATCAGGACTCAGAGTTGAGGAGTAGCTACTAGAATTGCCTGGCTCTGTTAAGTTTGTTTGTTTATTTAAAAAAATCTTAAAACTTTTTTTTTTTTTTTTTTTTTTTTTTGTCTTTAGTCCCTGGATCCCCATCAGAGACACTGCTTCAAACTCATCCACCTCCTCATATCCCAGACCCACCTGAACCTTGCTTTAGTGCAGCAGTGGTGCCTCTCGTCTCTGGGCAGGATTGTCAGGGAGTAGAGCCCCAGGACTCCTGAAAATGTGCCTGAAAACCCATATGGCAGCCTTCTCTGACTGCTGACAGAGACTGCTGCTCCAAGGGGTGCCGTGTGAAGGCAGTAATAATGCTCCCGTTCCCAGAGGTCAAGCTGGTTGATGAACCCTAGCTGTCCTGGCTAATATTCTTTCTGGATCTTATTAGGTTTAGGAGATATGCATGATGTACAGTTATACCTGAAGCAAGGATCTCAAAACTATTTTAGACCTAGTGAGACAGGACTGTGGGGTGATCCCTGGCTTTCTGTAATTGGTTGATTCCAGAAACAAGGGAATCTTGCATTTTGGACATGCCCTCCGTGGTCTATGGCCACTTTTAGGATTTGGGAGGACACAGAGAAGTATCCAGGAAGGTGGTACTGGGTACTGTGCCCTCCCTCGTTCTTCATCAAGGCTCAGGGATACCAGGGTTAGACTGTTCCCCATGCTTTTAATGTTTATTTATTTTTGAGAGAGAGAGCAGGGCAGGGGCAGAGAGAGAGGGAGACACAGAATCTGAAGCAAGTTCCATGCTCTGAGCTGTCAGCACAGAGCCCGATGCGAGGCTCAAACTCACGAACTGTGAGATCGTGACCTGAGCCGAAGTCGGACACTTAACTGACTGAGCCACGCAGGTGCCTAGACTGTTCCCCATGAGATGGGGAACTTTCCTATCGTGTTCTCCTTTCCCTTTTGTGAGCCATTGTGCCCAGAGTGGTCATAGTACTGGAACTGCTGCCTTTTTGGAGAATCTGAGATCTGAACTGCAACTCGTTTTGGGGGGGAAGTCCCTGGCAGCCTACCTGTGTATTTCTGGTGGCTCCCGTTTGATCTTTGCACTCGACTCCATTACTTCCTTTGCAACTCGGCCACTATAAATAGTATAATAAAACAAACAGAAAGGGATCAGACGGTGTTCCAGCACTGGGCTCCTGTCTAAGATTTCAGATACTTTGGATGACTGGGCAATGGCCATTTTGGCCTAGTCCTTCCCAATGTTTAGGTCACTGAAAAAAGCTGGCTTGCTAGGTTAAGTTCTTACATGTCCTGATAGCTTAGCTTAGAGAACTATCTCTGGAGTCTTTGGTATCTTCCATTTTCATTTAGAAATGATTGCTCATTGTCCAGCATGTTCCAGAAATATTGCAAAAAAAAAAAAAATCTTTAGACAGACATGAAAAGAATCACTGGTACAGTTCTTATTTCACTGCTGTTGTGAGGGCAGAAGAAGATATATATTTTAAGCCCTGCAGACAAACTGTGGCAGGGAAGGAAAGAAATAGTCAAAGGGTTAGGAGACAAGGAGAATTGGATAGAAACCTCAGGCTTTTTTGGAGGTTCCCAGTTCCTTTGTTCTCAAGGATAAGGACCACTGAGCCACTGTTCTCCAGAGAGGGGTCTAAAAATAGGTCCATAACAGTTACTTACTGTCACTATTTACCTGTATCGAAACCGGCTCCCTTTAAAGAATAAATTGCTGCTGGACACTGTGCGGACTTGGCTTGACTTCTCCAGCCTGCAGCAAGGCAAAGTCCAGTGTGACAGATGGCCTGCAACTGCTTCATGGGCTAAGGCAGCGCATTCCCAGCTCCTTCCAAAGGCTACTTGAGGAAACTCTTCAGGAAAAGGACCTTCACAGTCTGGCTTGTCTCTGACTCTCCTTTAGGACCTGAGGGTTTGCTCACAGCCTCAGTGCTGGGGACAGTCATGTTGAAACCCATTTTCATGTCAGGAGAGTGAGGGCTCCCCAAGAGTGCTTCATGGGGTTGGCCAGGGGGACTGAGAATAAATGTTAGGGGTGATGGCCTGGGGGAATAATAGAATGCTGCCTGTCAAATCCCAGGACACTTGTTAGCAGTATGACCTTGGGCAAATTTCTTTTTCTTCCTTAGTTTTAGTTGTTTTATCTACAGGATGACGGAGCTGGGACTACTTGACCTCAGGAGTCCCTTCCAGTCCTAGTATTTGATGATTCCATGTCTGGGTAATTGTGGGCAGAGGAGAGAGTAGGGGCTGCCCTCCCTATTCCATTTCCCTCTTGGAGAGTCCTAAAGTAGGTTATCATAGTAAAGACTCTAAGAAGTCCTGAAATGGACAAACTAGCTTAACTTTAATACAAGTTCCATCTTTTATTTGAACTTGGAATCATCCCTCTTCTCCCAGAATACCTATTAATATCACTTTCAAGGCTGTGGACAGCTGGTGTGGAGACTCTGGAAGACCATGGGCACTGTAAAATATCCTCTTAGGTGACTTCTTTGATCCCAGATGGCCCTCTCACCCTTATATAAAGGAAGGTGAGCAGAGCTGCCCAGAGTGAGGCCTCCCAACCCAACTTACTCCGCTTACAACATGCCCTGAGGTGCCTGTAGTGCTGATCTAGCCAGGAACTGATCTGGGTCTGAAGCCTCTGTCGTGAGCAGGCAGTCAGTATGTAGGGAGTTGTCCCCCAAATCCATGAATAGCAGTTCCTGGGAGACCATGTGCACCTGTCTCAGGGCTCTGTGAGGCTGTAAGCCTACTTGCCCTCCTGCCTGAACATGTCCTTGAGTCTGACCCGGCTTCTTTCAAAGCACTAGGCCAAAGGCAGTGCCAGGGATTTGTGTGTAAAACGTGCTCAGAGTGATGCCAAAGTGGCTGCTGCTAAGATTTGGCATAATTGGGGATCTGACCCAGGCTAGAGGCTTTTAACACTTACTAGAGAACATCAAGTAATCAGTAGAAATGTGAAAAACAGCCTCAGTGTGGGTCTTGGTAGGGCTAGTTAGGTGTGGGGATTTGTTAACAGAACGACTCAAACTGAGTTTGGTCACAGGTTCAGAAGCACAGTTCTGTTCCCATGACATAAACAGAAAAACAAAGGTCTCCAAAAATGGTGCTGACATGTTTTCTTGGCTTCTCTCAGACAGCCATGGACTGAACAAGAGGGAAATTTGACCATGTGGCAGCCTTTTCTGAGTGTCCTCTTCTTTAAATGAAAGAAGCCGACTCAGATTATAATTCAGGCTGCCCATTCAGTTCATCCCTGATTCTGGTATCAAATGCATAGAAACTATTAAGCAATTCAGAAAGCCTGACCAAGAAACAGCCTCTGGAGCTGTGGCCCTAGATGAGGGAGGCCCAGTTCTGCCAGCCCACACCCCGTAGCAGCCAGCAGGCAGCAATGCCTTTCCCTGGGGAGGAGGATGGTGCCCCTCTAGCTCAGAGCAGTTCTTCAGGGTCCTGGAGGTTACTGGAGGGAGAACTATGGCTTGTCAGAGGCAGAATATACCACAAACTTTGTCTTATGTTTTCCTGATTAAGATCTAGCTTATTAAATCATAAATCATTGCATTCTATTTTAAAAACAAGACCAATGGTTTTAGTGAAACAATTATCTGCCATCACCCCAGTTTCTCAATGGGCTATTTATTTGTTCCCTAATGCCTTTATAACCACTTTCTTAATCAAAGAAAATAGCACAGAAACCTCATATACTTTACAAATCCTGTGATAATCAAAATTCTTGCTTTTGCCCCAAAGCTGACTTTTCACTAACAGACAAGTCCTTGCCCTTCTTCCAGCTACCCCACTCAGGCTCCTGGGCACTTGTTCTGTCACTGGCACTACCTCTGGCAGTGGCACACTGGGAAGGTCTGGCATCAACCCCAGCTCAGCACTAGGGCACCCACTGGGGAGCAAGCCCCAGAGTTTCCCCAAGGCTTAGGGAATTGCCCTGGGCTGCACCTGCTGCTCCTTCATGAAGCGTTGTACTCTGGGCCTTCTATGGCTCTGAATGGCTCTGCAGGGCCAACCTGATTCAAGTCAGGTACCTGTGAGCTATTTTTGGCCCAAGCTTTGCCCTGAAAAGACCCCTCACTGCTTTGCCACTGGGAGCTGTGCAAGGACATCACAAGGTAGATCCCTAGGGTATCTCTGCTGAAACACATTCCTTGACCTCAGCTCTATCCATCCTGGGAGTACAGACATCCAGAAAGGGGTCTGTTTTATTAAGGAGTGCCAGCCTTGTCATCTTATGTCTCCTTTCTCAGTGTTTCTCAAATTTTCCTGCCCATCATTCCTCTAAAAAGTAGCTTTTATGACTCTGGCTCTGATAAAGATAGTCCCCATCACATGTGTCCACTCACTTGTAGAAGGCTTGGTTCTCGATTCCACATTTCCAAAGGTGCTTGCATGCTTCTGGAGTTGGAGCAAAATATGTGAGAATAATTTTCTTTTCCTACAAAAAAATCCCACATAGAAACAGCTGAGCGCAGGTGGAGAAGCGAAGGATGAAGTAGGCCAGGACCCTGACCCCTGGGCTGTCTGAGGGCTCCCCAGGACTTCAGGAAGAGGTTTCAGATAGGGGAAGGGACTTCCTGGCAGCTGGCCAGTTGGACGAGAAGGCCTGCAGGACCCGCCAGGGCAGAGCTCAGTTCAGTGACTAAGTTCACACTGGGCAGGTCCAATCACAATAAGCCTCAGCTGCCACAGACTCAAAACCAAGAGAGCCCTCCACAGAGAAAGTGCTCCTGTCGTCTGCATTTTCTACTTCCTTTTAAAAAGTTGTTATCTTGGAATGCTCCTATAGAAGCAAAAGAATCTTTCACTGTCTGCATTTCTTGGAGGTATTGAACCTCCGGGTGTCACTAGCATCCCTGAGGAGGTCCTGGGCTCCAGGGCCTGGCCATTTCTCCATCCCTCACCTCCAGGTCTCTGCTTCTCATTCAGGTGGCTTAGTTCTAACCTGGATATGCCACTTTGGTTGAGCCCTGGCCATCAGAAACCACCCAGTGCCCCAGCCCTCCCTGAAGAGAAAGAAGCCAGCACTCACCTCTTTCTGACTTACGTATAAATAGAAAGTCTTTCCTTCAAATTTCAGCTTGGTCACCTCATTCCTACAAGCACAAAGAGAACACCTGTCACCTTGTCGTGGGCTGCTTGTTCACAGCTAAGTCTCGTAGATGCACAGCCCACCCTGACTGGAAGGGGCTCCAGGCACAGACACAGTTTTAGCCAAAATTAGAACTGAAACAAGACAGCAGCGCAGTGGCTTTAGAGAACAGTTGCTGAAACAGTTCAATCCACAGTTTTCTGGTCAATCACACCATAATAATAGGGTGATAGGAGGATTTCGGGCTCATCAACAGTGGCTGTAAAAGGGAAATGTTTGTATGGGAAGTAAGTCTAGGTTGAGAGGTCCCGGGCCATTTCAGGATTTGGTTCATAATGCAGGTGCATTATCTGGATGGGACTGTCAAATGTAAGATGCCACAGGTAGCTGATGAGGCCAAAGTTCAAGATACAGCAAATAATGAAAAACAATGCAACCAGGTTCTGAGGGACTTGAGTCTTTCAGGTGACTGTGCCACTGGATGGAAAATGCAGTTTAATGCAAACAAATGTCAAACGATCTCAGGGAGGGGGGCAGGGCAACATACCAAAGAGAGAGAACAGATTACATGGAACAGTCATGCAGCGTACTGACCAGGAAAGGGGCTTAGGGGTTTTTGTAGAAAAATCCTTGAAGCCACCAGCCCAGTGAATGGCTGCAGTAAAAGAGGCAAACAGGATACTGGGGTACGTCACCCGCGGGACAGACACAAATCAGAAGAAGTGACATGGTTACTGTACATGGCACAGCTTAGACCTCACCTTCACATACTGCTCTCAGCCTTGGTTACATTTACAAAAAGGAAAAATGACAGGGGTCTTAGGCGGATGTCCCTGAGAGCCAGAGAGCTAGGCCTTAGGATCAATCACTCCTTACTTCTCTTCCATTTGCCTGACATAGCTGCCCTTTGGAGCCTGAAGGCCCTCCCATCTCACTGGGGGTGGAGTCCTTATTTTTGTACCCAACTGGGACCCCCAAGAAGGTCTGATCAGGCCTATCTGTCTCCACTTCATTTCTTCCTCTTTGTAATTTCTAGGGAGATTTCCTCAATATCTTAGGAAGTAGCAGAAAGGTAGTGAGAACCACATACCCAATTTACTACTGGCCAAAACTGAGGGGACAGAGGAAGGTCACTTGTTTCCTGGAAATCATGGGTGAGTAAGTATGAGAGCTCACAACTCTGACTACCAGTTCTGAGCTAATACAAGCACATGGTATACCTTCCTTGTTTGATTTCCCTCCCAATTAATCAGTCACCCTCATACACATACAGAATACAATAAATATCAATTGATTAATATGGAAAGGAACACACCGATCGTCTAGGCTTCAACAAACCAGATAGGAAAGTGGGAGAGTTTCTATTGGAAGTGAAGTTGGGTTTTATATCTATTATTTTAAAATTGAGACACAATGAAAAGCAGACTTCCTGAAGAAGTGTGATATGAGAGAAGCCACAGAATGAAAAGTTTGTGGGAGAATCAGGTGAGCATCAGGGCTTCTGGATGGGGAAGGATACTTTAGGGACTCCAGGTTCCTGAACAGGTGTGTCCTACTTGTTTCTAGCTACACATGCCTCCTACCAGGGACCTCATGAGACAGGCGGCCTGGTCAGAGTGTGGGCCAGGATCTGGGCCATCTAAGGAACATCAGACAACCCAGCTATATCTAGGAAGCAAGGGTTCCTCACTGGGAGACCGGTGCCCTGACCCTACTCATTGTCTTTTTGTGAAAAGTATTTTGTTGGACAGCAGACCCCAAATCCTCACCATTGTCACCCAGAGAGCACAGTGAGTGGGCCAGCTTCAGAAGGCCTAGCAAACAGATGCGTTGGGGTGTACCCTTTTACTCAGTGCAGCAAACTGCCTTGTGAAGTGGCTGTTTTCCTGGGGGAATGGGACCTGGGTGGTCATGTCTGGCGGTGGGGGGCAGTTTCACTAGCACTCTGGTTGATGATCAAATTACCATTGTGCACAAGAGCAATGGGGTTGGAAAGGTGGTGTTTGTCCACACGCTTGGTGGGGGAGCTCAAGAGGACACAAGAAGATAGACACCTTGCAGCAAACCCCAGTAGAGAGCTCGCCAGGAAGCAGCTTTGTCCTCAGATTCCCCATTAGCTCTTCTGGAGAAGGCAAAGGACTGAAGACCGGAGCAAGCTTCCCCAGCCGAGCTCTGTTGGGTAAGGTAAGCCATTTGTTTAAGCCCATGGGAGGAGTTGGCCAGCTTAGACTCGGCAGTCTAAGGCCGAAAAGGTACAGAAATCACAGGGGCTTAGTACAACATACAGCATGTTCTGATGAGGCTGAAAGATGTTTGCATGGTCCAGAAAAGGGGCCTCCAGGAGAGCCAAATATCCATCAACAAGCCAGTCTGTGCTGCATCGGCCCCCAGATCCATTTAGAATAGACCCTGAACTCACAGGGTGGAGAGGAAGCAGTTCAGAGTAGCTTCAGCTGAGGTAGTGGCTCTTAGCTGCTAGAAATGGGAGTGGAGGAAGGGAGAGGGGAGCAAGGGTGGGGATGTGACTCCTGGAGGATGAAGACACCTACAGCCTAAAGAGGGACAGAAGGGAGATAGAGCAGCATCCATGCTTGTGCAGGCAGTGCCCAAAGTGGGGCTTGGCCCACGGAGGGTGCAGGATAACTTCTGTCTGCCCCAGGGGTGAGCCCCTCCTTCTTTAGGCCAGTGGGTAAGGAAGTAAGCACCCATGCAGATGCAATGGCCCTGAGTGGGGGACAGTCCCAAGGACTTTGCTTCCCTAACATTGGCTGCAGCCCCAGGTCTTTCATCTTACCTAGAAATCACCCTCCACACTCTTTGTCTCTCTGGAGAGACTGTTGGCTCTCAGGAACACCCCTTTGGAAGAACAGGATCCCTAGGCAGAGACCACTACCTCGATCAGTTATCATTATGGACGCAAGGCTTTGGAGAGGGCTCAGAACCATAACTGCCCAATCACAGACAAAGGACGTGGGAACCATAGCCCTCCCCAGTTGGTGACATATAAAAAGCCCATTTTGGAAATGAAGATACTCACCATTTAATGAAGTGGACCCTCTTGTTTCCTTGCAGAACGACAAACCCAAAAGGAGTGAAGGCCAGAAATGCAGCATTTCCTGACACATCCTGCAACACAGAAAGACCTCTCATCAGGATGACATAGGCATGTAGGTGAAAGGGCGAGAAACACAGTTGTTCATCAGTGATACAGGGGTAATGTTTGGGAGTAGGTCACAGAGGGAGGAGCACTTGGATATAACAGGCAAGCTACTCACCTCCCCTAAGCCTCAGTGCCCTTAAATGTAAGTTGTAACTAATCTTAGAAGGCTGCTGTGAATATCCAAAGAGAATGGCAAGCCCTCACACATTGTAAAATGGTGCAGTCACTTCGGAAAGTAGTTAACTTCTTCAAATTGTTAAAAAGAGTTGTTATACGGCCCAGCAGTTCCACTCCTAGGTACCCAAGAAAACTGAAGACACACATTCACACAGAAACCTGGATGTAAATGCTCATGGTAGGATTATTCATAACAGCCAAAAAGTGGAAACAATCTAAATGTCCATCAACTGATAAAAGAGTGAAAATGTGGTGTATACATATAGTGGGATATTACTCAGCAGCAAGAGGGACGCAGTACTGATACCTGCTATAATGTGGATGAACCTCGAAAACATCGGGCTAGGTGAAAGAAGCCAGGCACAAAAGATCATATGTTGTAGGATTCCATGTGTATGAAATGTACAGAATAGGTACATCCACAGGGACAAAAGATTACTGGTTGCCAGGGCTGTGGGGAAGGGGAGATACATAGGGAGCGACAGCTAATAGATACAGGTTTCTTTTTTGGGGAGATGAAAATGTTTTAAAGTTTGTGGTGGTAATTGCATAACTCTGTTACTAAAACTACTGCATTACACACTTTAAAAGGATGAGTTTTACCATATGTGAGTTATATCTCAAAAAAGCTGTTGAGAGACAGAGAATGAATGGCGGTTATTATTACAATGGCCCTACACACTGGGCTCCCTCACAAAGTTTAGCTAAAGAAAAGATATGAAGCAAGCAGCTATGGGGAATAGCCACGGTCAATCCTGTGGTGCCTGAATCATCAAAGAGGCCTCCTGACCACTGGTCACTATCAGTTTGTACTGGTTACTCTCTGTTTGTAAATACCAGGCTTGAGGTTCTGCCGAGCCAAGAGGGGAGAAGCTGTACGTCATGGCTGTCTCACATAGGAAATGAGCGCCATGAGGGCCAGGCTGGCATGGGGCACAGAAAGCAGGTTGATGGATTGTGCTCTCTCTGAGGAACTTTCTTTGCGATAGGGACCTGAGGGGAGAAACTGCTCTGTCAGCGTGTGAATGTGCTCAAGTGGCCAGAAAATTATGCCAGGATGTTGGTCAAACGTGCATGTAGGACATTTGTCTGAGCCATAGCTCATATGGTGCAATAGGGTCAGGCACCTAGTATGAGGCATCCAAGTGGGGGCTATGGCTGTCAGGCTTTCCTAGTTTTCCCCACTTTCAAGTTTTGGCTTCTTGGCATACATACTCAGTCTGATCAGGTCTAAGAATAAAAAGCAGGCCTGGGCAGGGCCCCATGAGCCTTGACCCAAAGAAGAAATGCAGTTTTGTCTTAAAACTCTTTAGAGTCAGGTTCCGGGTATGAACATCTGGGCCCAGGGAATAAATTAAGTATATGTTTTGCAAACATTTCCACTTAATGTATTGTTAGTATTGTCCTTTCCTCAGGGTCTATTGTGACCCCGACACTTGGCTGCAAGCACAATGTCCTTCAACCCAGGGGCAACAGCAAAAAGCTGTTTAAAAATAACCTGAATGGAGATACTATGAAGCCACAGGGCTGGTTTTCCTCCTGCCTGTCATCAGTCCTTGGTGGTGGTTATTAATACCTGAGTGCCAGCACTGCACAAAAACATGGTCCCTGGCCAGGGCACCCATGCTAACCCAGCAGGTTTGCCTATGTTGGATACATCTGCCCACTGTGCAGGCAGGACCCAACGAAGTCCAGGAAAAAAGACAGAGACTTGAGAGGGTGGAAGCCTTGCCTTATTCATAATCACAGGACAGGCTCCAGGAAATATTTATCAGATGAATGTGTAAGACAAGGAGGTGGGCCAGAGGGGCTGGGGGTAGGGGAGTACACATGTGAGCAAAAACAGGAGAGGAAGGCACAGGTGCAGTGGAGGTAGGGAGGGCAATTTACAGTGTCTTACAGTGTCTAGGAAAGGCCTAGAAAGAATGGGTGGAAGGATGGAAAGAAAGGGTCAGGTCAGCAGAGGACTGTGGGTGGCTAGAAATACTGGGTAAGGAATAGGGAGGGGAAGGGCCTCCACCTGCTTCTTGCACTCCTGACCCACGCGGGTAACAGGGCAGAGGAGCACCTGTGCCGTGACCATAGCGTCATGGGTCCTGTGTCAGGCCACGCAGACCCAGGCTCTGGCTCGGCCCCTCACTGCCTGTCCCTTCATTTCTCCATGTTTCACATTCCTCATTGTAAAATTAGGGTTGAGAACACTATCTACGTCTTAGGTTGTGCTTAGTAGGCACTCAGGACATGCTAGGGGTCGTGTTAATATGAGTTTGTTGCACTTAATACAAAATCTTTTTTTTTTTAATGTAGTATTTTACTATTTTTCCTGACACTGATGGATTTAATTTTTGCTAGTTAGGAAATGAGGGTGTGGGAAGTTGAGGTAGAAAGAAGTCACTCAATGTTGGGGGCCCATGGAGAAGGGGGATTTGGGTGATCCATTTGGGATTTGGGGTAAAAGTGAAGAGGGTAGAAGAGGAAGGAGACAAGCTGTGACAGATTCCTGAGGGTTGTCCCAGTGACAGGCCTCTCTGGCCATAGCACAGAGGGTCCTCCCACAAGCTGGGAAGAACTGGCCAGGCTGTCTGTTGGCACTGTCCATCTGCACCGTCCAGACACCTCAGGGCTGGCCTCTGGGTGAAGGCAGGTGTTGGAGTTAAAGGGGGAAAAGCCTCTCCTGACCAGACTGACTGATTCAGAACAGGGAGCAAACTGAGGATAAACCCCAATCAGATGCCACATCATTCCGGTAAGTAATAATAGCACCTTGAGCAATCCCAATCCAGTCTCTCACATGGAGAGATCAGTTTTTCAAACTGCTTCCAATGCAATGTTGTGGATGAGGGCTGCTGCAAAGCTGGGCACCTGTGTGTCTACAGGGGCCAGGGCAGCTGGAAGGTTTGCTTCTTATCTGTGGCATGTGAGGAGCAGGACCTGGAATTACAGAGAAAAGCCTCACATCTGTACCAGCACAAAAACACAAACAGGTAGCCACGTAGACACCTTCTCCAGAGCCTTCCCGGTTTCTTCCACTAACATGTTATTCTCATGGGATTTGTGTGCAAAGGACAAGTTATATGACAAGAAGAGAAGGAAATGAGGACGAGGAGAGATGTGACACAGAAAGTGGTAACCTGTTCCTCAGATCAGGTTATCAAGTTGGAGGCTATCTTTCCTCTTTGTTCCCTTCCCATCCCAACGAGATCAGGACCCACAGGACTGAACATTAATGGATCCGAAAGGTGGAATAAAAACTTGTGTCTTGACAGCCACACAGCAGATATTGCCAGCCCCATTGTACATCAGATAATGGTCTAAAGTATTTGGTTCACTTCTACAGTTGTGAGGTACGAAATTCATTTTCAGTTTTTCATCCTTGTAGAAAGAGCTTCATTCTTGGCTTAGGAATTTAGCCTAGCTTCTTATTTACTCTGTGACTTAACTTCTCTGAGACTCAATTTCCTCATTTCTCAAACGAGGGCCATAATACATACTTTAAGAAATACTGCTTCTTTCTGATTTTAGGGTGATGGCCTAAATAACTTATTGCCAAGACATGGCCAACAGTGGTTTCTCTTGGAGGGGCTGGATTTGCACAGAGTCCTTTCACATGTTGAGGTAGAAACCACCATGAAACTCGACATGCATCAGTTCGATGTCGTCAAAGGCTCACCCTAAGATGATAGCTCTGCCCAGAAAAGGATTTTTGGAAATCACAGCAACTGACTGGTTCTGGGAAGTAGGGACATCTGGCCACCTTTGCCCAGTCCCCATGGGTTCCACCTCAGGATACAACGAAGCAGCCTTCTGTCTACTGCTGCCCTGGAGGACATCCTGGGTATGCCAGAGTCAGAACCAGGACATTCTTTCGAGATCATCCAATCCCCTCTCTGGAGTATGACTTAAACTAATTAGATATGGGTAGATGAAACCTCTATTTTAAAAACCTCAGGGAAGAAGATTCCACATGGTCTTCCACACACTTACACCCATCCCTGAAAGCTTATAGCTAGGAACCTTACGTTAAATCAGTCATGAAAATCACCCAGTTTTAGTATACTTAAACATGGTCCCAAGAAACTACATAGAATGGAAATTAGGAGGCAGCCCTTTAAGAGCCTTGGCATCACCCCATGAAAGATCAGAAATGGAAATCTTGGCATATACTTGCCATGTAAGTGGTTTTAGTCAAGTTCTTCATCTCAGCAGTAAGCCCACCATTCTCTGTACAGTGCAGCCAAGAGGGGCCCACTGGGGGATGAGGGTTAGTCATCACCAATCCTTCTTTCGTCTGTTACTCTGAGGTCAGAGGCAACTTGTCAAGATGGGAAAGGGAGTTTATTTAGAGAGGAGCCTAGGTGGCTGATTATGAAATTAATGATCCTATTTAAGGTCAGAGGAATGAAGCTGTAATTTTATTTGTATGGTTGCTCTAACCTAGATCCTGCTGAAATCAATTTTCTCCTGGTCTGTACAGGACAGACATAAAGTCACTTGGTGAACTTACGTTAAATTTTTCTACGGTGATTTCAGTAGTGTTGTAGGTCCTCTACCAGAGTTGGTAGTGAGTCCTGCTTTGTTCCTAAATAAATGCCATCTACCCAGAAGGAAGACCAGGAATGGTAACTGAAAAAGCACAGCACTGAGGTGTTCAGACAGCCCTGGGTTCGAGTCCGAGTACTGCCCTTACCAGTAACTCTGGACATGTTAGTTGGTCCCTCAGAGTCTCAGTGTTCTTATCTTGAGGACAAGAACATCTTCTTGGCAGTATCGTTATAAACATGAAATGAGATCGTATATGTAAGTGCCTGGCATCTGCAGGCTCTCAGTAGATGGCACCTTCATGACTCATGATAAGGCTGGGTACAGGCTGGGTGTCTGTGATGGGTCTGGCTACTATAGAAACCTCAAGAGGGTAAAAAGCCACAGTCTGGGCCTACAGGAGATCCAGGGCAAACAACCAGTCCCAGGGGCTCCAGGAAGGAACAAGATGGTAGCTCCTGAGGTTGGAGAGGTATCAGAGCTGGAACAAATGCAGCACTGGGCTGCCAGGGGTTTGCTCCAGTCTCCTGCTCTAGGCTGCAGGCTTGGTCTTCTGGGGGCTCCTGTCAGGAGGAGATGGGGTCTGAGGGGAGATGCAGAGAGCTCAGGACAGCGTGTGCAAGTTCAGAGCCTGGGTATTACTGTAAGCCAGCCCGCTGCTGGAGCCCTCTGCCTGTCCCACCCAGTTCCCGGTCCCAGGGCCAGACAAGGACACTTTGGGCAGAAAAACCAGTGTGGACAGGAAGAACAGCAGCTTCTTAATCAGTCCAGGAGAATAGAGCCCAGCTGAAGCCTTGTTCTACTCTCATTTAATTATCAAAACGATTCCTCTTCTTCCGTCCTCCCTAGGGCTGTGTGCCCCAGATTCCCTGGGCCCAGTAATTGCCTCTCTGTTAATAGAAATCATCGGTATTTATTACACTGAGTGCTCCAGCTTATTTCAGCTCTCCTTGTAGCAACATTAAGGCGAATGCCTAGTAGCATATCACCAAAGTAACCCTACTTAATGACAAGAGTAAAGGCTCCTGAACCGTCCTTGCTCAGCAGGCCTAAGGAAAGCATGAGCTGCAGTTCAGTAGAGACAAGCTGAGGGACCCTGTGTGGGGTCTGCAGCAGGGTCCTGGCTCTGGGTGAGCAAGAAGTATAGGGCCTGGGAACCAGGGATTGGAAGCCCAGTGCAATGATCGTGCCCACCATCTCCCCAGGGGGAGTCTCCTGGGGGCTTCTGTTCCTCCTAGATATATAACAACGGGGAAGTGACTTGAGTTCAAATTCTTGTTCTACTGCTCAGGGCCTTGTAAATTGTCTCCTGGAGCTTTTGTCTTCTTACTTATAAGCCAGGAAGAGTAAGATCCACCTCCCAGGGCTGACAGGATTAAATGAGAAAATAACGTGAAAGGATTCCAGGGGGTCTGCCATGGAAGGCATGCCACAAATGTTTGTTCCCTCCTTCCTTCTTTGAGTTGATGCCGTGGGGATGGAATGATGTGAGGGACTGGGCCTCACACAGTGCCTGGCATTAACAGGGGTTTCTTCCTGCAGCCTCTTCAGCCTCTGTGTCCAATAATGGGCAAACTCATCACAGATGGGGCTGAGCCAGGAGCCCCACAGTCCTAGGGTGCACATGGACTTGGGCTGGACACCAGGCTGGCTGCCACTGTAGCTTCCAGACCCACTTAGGCACATAAGTGGAGAATCCCTCCCACCTCTGCTCAGTTGTACTCAGGTTCACTGTCTACCATCTATCTGCCTACCATCTATCTGCCCCATCTATCTGTCAGATGTCAGCCTCACCCAGGGACACACCTCTGAAAAGGTGGGTGCCCTGTGTGGCCTCAAGGGGCCCAGGCAGGTTTGGAGGTGACCTGGCACCTTATGATAAAGATAGCTGTCTCTAGGCAGCTATGGCTTTTAAGGTCCTGAAGTGACTCAGCAGTTCGTGGAGCACAGTCACTGAGTACCTGCTGTGTACTTTCACACAGGTGAGGAAAGCAAGGCTCAGAGAAGCCTGTGAGGGCCTCAGAAAGCAAGAGATCAGTGCTGGAGCCAAGGTCAGCTGACTATGAAGCCCTCTTCAGTCCTATGCAGGCCCCCTACCGATGGTATCTGAGCAATTAACGGAGGTTAAACTATATCTGTCATGCAAGGGCAGTATTTAGGAAGCTTTGCTAAATCATTTGTAAATAACTATGCATCATCTTTCTTTTTTTTTGGTACGAACAGGCATAAATGTGTTTTCTGACAGTGCTGGCCCTCCTCAAGAACACAGGGGTTATCTGGTAGTAGGCTGTGCTGGTGAATAGGGAACTCTGTGGGGTGGGAAAGGTGACCAGGGTTTCTAAGTTGCCAGAATGTTCTAAAAGTTCCTATTTGAAGTTTCAGCATAAAATCCTATGTAAGAACAAGTCACCATCACCTTAGCAAGAGGGTAAGGGATATGCAATTCTGCCCCTACATCACTGGATTCCTTGCTTTCTATTCTGTTCTTTTAATTTTTGTTGGAAACTTCTAGTGTTCCCTCACCTATTAGGAAGAAACGGTCAATGCCCACCTGCTCCCATGGGATACTGGCTCCTTCAGATCAGTTTCAGAATCTGGTGGTACTGGTGCCTCTCCAGTACTAGAAAGAGAGAGGCAAAAATCTGGGGACACTGAGGCAAAGACCGGGAGTGTCAAACCAACTGGGATGTGGAGATGAAGTGGGGGGACACAGCCAGAGAGAGAGAGGAAGAGGTCATGTGTCTCCGCTGCTCTCCATAGTGACTGTGGCTGCTTAAGCTCTTCTCCGGAATGCCAGACACATGTGAGCAATTACAGAGGTTTCCTCTGGGCAGAGCCTCCCTGGCTGGTTCCTGTCTCACCCTCCCAGGCGCATAATGGAATTAAATGCTACTCCACTGCAGTTCCGCGCAGTGACTTACGCTATTGCAGTCAATAAAATCCGCTCTTGGAAAGAAACTAGATTACAGGTCAGGGAAGGATGGGCAGTCCGCTGAGCGGCCTCTGATCATTCCCTGTGGGGGGACTTCCACATCCTCTCTCTTCATTTCCACCAAATTACCCACTGCAGCCAAAGTGGGGCCTCAGCTTTGGATTTGTTATTTAGATTGACTTTGCCTGGGACCCTCCGACATTGATGTCGCACCACAAAATTATGCAGCATGGAAGCCAGGGGAGTTTCCAAGAGGAGATACATTTTTTTTTTCTGGCATCTGTCACTAAAAGAGCCAATCAACCAGATCCTGAAGGTGGATGGTGCAGGCATGTGCTTCTTCCCTGCCTGTTGCCCTTGGGAGGAGGCAAAGTCAGTGGTCTCAGACCACAGGGGTCTTACCTTACATGGGTGAGGGTCCACTCCATACGTCTCCAATGTCTGTGCTTTTCTTAAAAAGTTCAGCTCTGATGTTGCTGGTGTTTGACCACTGGAATAAAAGGAAATGAGATGATTTCAGGGTTTCCTGTTCTCTTAGATTCCTGAGGTAAACTTTACATTAAGAAGCGCTCAGGGTGGGGCGCCTCGGTGGCTCAGTCGGTTAAAGCGTCTGACTTCGGCTCAGGTCATGATCTCACAGTTTGTGGGTTCGAGCCCCGCATCGGGTTCTGTGCTGACAGCTTGGAGCCTGGAGCCTGCTTCTGATTCTGTGTCTCCCTCTCTCTCTGCCCCTCCCCTGCTCACGCTGTCTCTGTCTCTCAAAAATAAATAAATTAAAAAAAAAAAAAAAAAAGCACTCAGGGTAAGCCTTATAGTCCAATTTTCCCATAGAGTGTGTGCTCCCTGCCCTATTCTAGTACCAGCTTCAGAGACTCCTGTCTGGGGTCAGAAACTCAGATGTCCTCAGACTGAGGCCAGCTACATAATAAATGACATGGGGTGTACAGTAGGGAGTGGTGGGGTTGGGGTCACTATGGCAAACTGGGAAGTGCTACCCCATCTAATGAGGGCAGCTGCTCCTCAGCTCTAAGACTAGTCCTGTGGGAATGCAGGGCCGAGCACCGCTGGATGTGCTTTTCAAAGAGCAGTCAGAGATACTGATTTCTGTGTACTATTTCTCAATTTTAAATACTCCGGGGGCAAACAAAACACACTTGTAGGCTGACTGCAGGCCATGGGTTTCTTGTCTTGACTTATGACTGAAATACAAAGCAGAGACCTGTATATCTTGCTGGTGCTGCCCAACCGTCTTCCTTTACCAGCAGGGAACATGGGAATGGAGGGTGAAGAGACACAGCAGGAGACAGTGCTGAGCTCCCCCGACCACAATAGCGGTCTGTCTGTCCATGGGGTGATGACTGTGAAAGGAAGAAAGCACCTCTGGTGCCCAGTCATCTTAGGAAGGGGTCTCTAGCATCATTTCCTTCCCAGCTACCTCGTGAGTAGGTCCTTTCATGAGCTCCACACAGAACAGGTGGCAGTGTCTTCTTGGCTGCCCTCAGGGTCTGGATCCCTGGTGGAGCAGACACACTCCTGCAGATGTTGGGTAGGTTTCAGTGTGAGGAGGGGTGGGCAATTTGTCAAGTCAACAGTGACTCCGATGGCTGGTGGGTGGGACTGAGCTGCTCATGTCTAAGTTCATTATTTGTCTTGAGTAATACTGGTAAGTGCAGGAAGACAAGGAGGTGCAGGCCAGATTCTCCCTAGCGTCCTTCTGGATGGGTGTCAATCAGCACATTTATGTGCAAGTCTCCATGTTGCTTGTGTAAAATCTACCAAGAAATACAATGCACAATCTGGGCCTTCCAGGAGCTCATGTTAGAGTTGGAGGAAGGAAACACATTTCCACATGCTAGTGATGCAGCCAGCCCGTGCAAGTAGGCATTATGTTGACTGCAGATTCCTACATCTGCCAGAGCACCTGAGGTGCAGAGAAGGTGCCTGGGAAATGTTTGTGAGGCAGACAGAACGCTGGGCACCAGGGGCAGCTGAGAACCACTGCCCCTTCCAGGGAGCTTCTTCATTCCCTGTCTGGAAGCTGGAAGATCTTGTGGGCTCCATCCAGTCCTGGAGTTGGCCCAAACCTCCGGGGCCCTCAAAGTGGGCATCATTTCCTGGGGGATCCCTGTCTCCTACTAGGTTTCTGGATGACTGTCCCCACTGCTCTCACACTTCCTAAAACCCTCCTGGCAGCGCCTCTTGGCTGTCCCAGGACAGCCCTGAAGTCTCCTTTGAACAAACCATGAGCCTTCTCAAAGGTCGATGTTTGTTCTGACCTTTACCACAAGGGGCCGCTGTTTCCCTAACAATGATGGGAGGAGCCCTCCAGCTTTGGCAAGGACACACCAGCAATGGGAGAGGGATGGGGCTGGAGAAGGATGGAGAGCTGCTAGGATTCTACCTCTGTTAGGTGTCTCCATTCCTCTGGGAGGGAGGGAGCCAGTCCCTGCCACACGCTCTGGGCAGCCGGTCTGCTTGCAAAGGCTAAGGAGGTTTTAGGGACATAATTTTGGTAGAATATTCTGAGTGTAAGTGAGGATTTTGTGTTTTGGGGTGGGGGAGCTCAGGGAGTCAGGGTAGGAACTAGTTTAAACTTAATATTAACGCTAGAAATGTCTTTCCCCCCACTTCGGCATTATCCTTCCCCAGAAAGGTAGTTACACCGACATTGACAAAGATTTCTAAAAATTGTAATGTACTAATATGTTTTATTTTACAGCGCTACAGTGTATATGGCCTTTTTCTTCATAGTTTGTCAGTTTGGGGTATATGTGCTCCAGAATGCCACACAAAGTAGAGCCCATACACTCTATTGTTGCCTTTTTTTTTTTCTTTAAATCAATCTTTGTAGAAAATCCTATTTCACGTGGGTGAAAGGACACATTAATGCTATTTTATGGAATGTGGCATATTCTGAAAAAACTAAGAATCTGAGGAGGACAAGCCCCCTGCTTCCAGCCTCTTCTCTGCCCCTTCCTTCTGTGCAGTGCTGTGGGGTTGAGTGAGGCAGTGCTGAAGACACAGCCCCTGAACCAAGAGCTCTCAGGGCACCCCCAGTGTTCATGAACTAGGCCAGCTCTGCACAGTCCCATCCCCTGACCCAGAAGCCACCTATCACACTGTCACAGACTGAAGGCAGAGGCTTGCCCATGTTTCATATGTCTCCTGTCACTTTTTTCTCTTCTGCTGTTTATGTTTTTTTTTTCCTTTTCCCCAGTCCGTGCTTCTTCCTCTGTCTCATCATTTATCTTAGTAACGTGAATACTTTTCAGAGGCCAATCTCTCTCTGTTTTCCTTACAATACAATGTCCCTCTTGCCCTTGGGCTTCAGCCTACTCTATAGGGCTTGGGGTTGTGCTGTCAGTGCAATGCTGAAAATGGTACATCCCGGAGTCAGGATGCAGCATGGGGCTTGTATGCTCAGGCTGTGGGGGACAGAGTGTCCTGAGCCTCAACTGAGTATCACATACCTGAGTTCTGTCTTGTGAATCTCAGCAATTTTCCTTTCCAGCTTCTCTGAATGTTTCGGGAAAAACTGGAACTTGGAGCTGTAGCCTTCAGGGTGTTTCCCTGGGTCATAATCCCCAATCTCCGCTTGCAAAAGGAAAGCAGAGTAAAACAGTTGTGGAGATAGGTAAATCAGCACTGGTAAAGCAACAAGAGATGAACACACAGAGCAAAAGCCAAAGCACACACCACATTTCCAAAGAACAGTGGATCTTGAGTGTGGCTGTGGGTTAGGTGGAAGGAGTGCTCCTCAGAAGAAGCATGCCCCACCCTTGTTTTCCCAGATGTGCACCCTGGGGTGATATCAAGTCTAAGCAGAGATACCAGAGCCAAGCCTGTATTCTGTGGTCACCACAAGTAAACATCCAATAGAAAAGCAGAAGCTTGCATCACGGTCTTTATCTATTCAGCCTTGAGAAAAGGTCCTGGGATCATAGCTCTTGGTGGCAGCACAAGAAACTGAGCTGCATCAGGAAGAGAGAGCCTCTTGGGCCTGAGCCAGATCAGAAGTCTAAAGTGTCAGTTTTGAGGATTTTAGCAGGGACACATTGATGAATGAGCCATGACCCAAACTCAGAACTCCACTCTCAGTCAAAATCAAATCAAATCAAATCAAATCAAATCAAATCAAATCAAATCAAGTGAATATATTTGAGTAAATATTCATTGAGGGTGCCACTGACCAGGTGCCACGCCCCTCTGAGAGAACCTCAAGAGTAGCAAGACTGAAAGTGGTCTTTGAGTTCTGGAGCACCAGGTCCTAAGGCTGATTTCCTAGCTTCCTGCATGGGGCGCTGTTTCTCCTCTACCCATGTAGAGAGACAAAGAGTCCATCCCTAAAGCTGCCAGGATCTCAGATCAGTGAGATTTCCATAGGGTAGTGTGGTGGGCCCATGACACTCTCCACAAAGCAGATCAGAACCCAGTCCTCTGCACAGGAAGGGCTCCACAGGGAACATCGTGCCTATGTTAGGAGAAAGTATGTTAGAAGTGCCAGCTGCTTTGTATTTGTCCTTTCTCCTTCGTTAGTGAGAACCACAACCAGGGCCTGTGCAAAATCTTGAGGGGAGAATAAATATTAAGAGGAAAATGTGCCCTCCTCTCACAGCTGAATATTGTACTTGTGCACAAAGCTACTCATTGTGTCTTCCAAATTACTTGGGAATTTCTATCGTTCTGCAAGAGACTAAAAGCTTCCCTGGACCTACAGTCCAGAGTGACCTTGAGCCATGAAGTCATTTATTATGATTTTATTTAGAAAGCTCCAAGTAGAAAACATCAATATTGGACATCAACTACTTTTTTAAAGGAAAAAAAGAAAAAGAAAAATTCAATGTTGTCAGGGTAAAGCTGAAGGAAATAATAGAGTTTAAAATCTCACTTAACACCAGGTTTTCTCCTTTAAAAATGAAAGGGGCCTCTTTGGGTAATTTAGAGTTGCTTAGCTCTAGTTGGGTAGCTTAGGTAGGCATCTTCTAGAGTTGCCGGTTAGGTGATTTTTTAAAAACAGGACTCTCAGAAGTCAAACTTGCTATGTGTTGACTTTTACATTCTTTTTCAAAAAAATTTTTTTAATGTGTGTTTATTTTTGAGAGAGAGACAGAGCTCGAACAGGGGAGGGGCAGAGAGAGAGTGAGACACAGAATCCAAAGCAGACTCCAGGCTCTGGGCACCAGCAACCCCCCCCCCCCCCACCGCCCCATAAAGGGCTTGAACTCACGAACCATGAGATCATGACCTACACCGAATTTGGACGCTTAACTGACTGAGCCACCCAAGTACCCCTGACTTTTACATTCTTAACACAGCTATGATATTTCTCTTAACAGATGAACTGAAGTTTCTTTTTGGCAAGCATTTTCCAGTCTCTCCACAAAGTAGCTTCCTGGAGTTCACAGATTTCCAATTAAGAGTTCAGATTCTTTGAAGGAAACTTCATGATTTTAGTGAAGTCCTGAACAATCTGGGGACAGTTCAGGCCTAAGGACTAAGGGAAGCCTTAGAAGTGGCACTCAGAAGCCCCTGTACTTCATGGAAGGAGAAGGCATCACACAGATGAAGAGTGCATACCTTTCCCAATATTTTGCAAAAAAAAAAAAAAAAAAAAAGCCAGTCTGGGAATCTGCTGGATACAGACTCAACTCTACATTATTAGCATGTTAGGAAATATATCTGTTACTTGTACATTTCAACTTTGAACACTCTGAATGGAAAGGTCTCTGAGAAACCAGAATTCCAAGATACTTCACACCTTTGAGATTTGCATGTAAAGTCTTAGAAAAATTGATTCAGATGACTCTCCAGAGTCCCAGTAACTCCAAATAGAGTCATGATGACCTAAAGAAGCCTGCAGGAAGACCTTAGGCACAGTTTAAGGTTGAGTGGTCAGAGCTTTCTGGGACTAAGGAGGCTAGGCAAAGAAGCTCTCCAACCTAGACTCTGCTTCAAGTTAGATACTGTTTATATCCAAGAAGTAGTCATCTGTGGTGACTGAAATAATATAATCAGTACTTAGCATGAAAGCAAGTTCATTCATCCTGTCAAAAGTCATTACCTTGAAGGATATAAGCTGCTAACAAGGCAGCATCTGATGTTTTACAGAGGAGACGGCCATGGTAGAGATCCCTTTTGATCTGTAGGAAGACTAAATACCTAGAGAGAAAAGAGAGGGTGAACTATAAAGGATTTCTCTGATTTCTTTAAAGACATAAGTATGTAATATAAGCCTATGAAATTTTTAAATGAATTTTAAATGAATTTAAATGAATTTTAAAAACAAAAACTTAAAATGGCACCACAGAACAAACATATTTTCCATTTCCCTGAAGACTTTTTTAAGTACTTTGCCCTGAACTGATTTGGGATTCAATTCAAAACAACTTGTTAGTTTCCTTCGGTAGCTCTAAACAGAAACGGTGCTTCCTGGCAAAAGCACTGTGTCCTCCCTCCCAGTGTTGGGTTTTGGAAGGAGCCAGCCCTGGCCCATTTGATGCTGAAAAAGAAACCTGTGTCAGCAGAGAGGGGCCAATTGGGCTTCTCCCTGCCTAGGACTCTGGCTGATGTTTCTTCTTAAGAAGTGGAATGGAGCATGAAGGAACCAGCCCAAGGAAGAGTTCTGCCTCAGCTTGCCAAACCAATCTGTCCATATGTGGAACGGCCTTCAATTATTGGCTGAGCTCAATAGCAGTGAAGGAAGCATAGAAACCTGTGGCTAGCATTTCTTCAAACAGAGAAAACTCTCACCTCAGTAGAAGCAGGACATCAAGAGCAACAGCTGATAGTAGCTGATGTGTACTGAGCACTTCCTATCTGCTAGGCCAGGTGTTATGTACTTTGCATGCATAGCTCATCTAATTCTCACTTAATACTTTGAAATAGGTACTATGATCCACCCCCCCCTTTTAGAAAAAATTTAATTCCAATATAGTTAACATACAGTGTTGTATCATCCCCCCTTTTTAAGATAAGGAAACTGAGGCTTAAGTAATTTTCTCAAGGGCACACAACTGGGAAGTGGCAGAGTCAGGATTCAAATTCAGGACTGACTGTAAGACTCCTGAGGTTGGCTCTTAGTCACTGTTAAATGGCCCTGTCCCTTTGGTGGGACATGGAAGCAAATCTTTTGTCCCTCACTCACTGATCATTCCCTGGGCCTGAGTTCATATATCACTCCTTCTACAGCTCTTTGTGCTACAATTCAGGGATACTGGACTAAAGGAGATAGCTGAAACGGACAACAAGGCTCTGGGCACTGATTCTCAATGTGGTGGTGAGGAAAACATCCCCCAGGGTGGGGGGAGAGCACATCAGAATCTGTGTGTATCTTCTTGCTCCTGGGTTTGATAAAAGCCCTGCTGAAGCCTTCTGATTTGCTCCCTTCCCACCCAGGGGGGACATGCTCCTCCTCACCCTGAGAACCATTATCTTTATCAGGCATCTTTATCAATGGGTGCATGGCAGGTGCCTCCAGTGAGCCGGAAAGGAAACAGGCTTTCCACTGCTGGGTGGGGTTTATTCAGACTTTTGGAGGTAGGACATCTACAGGGGGGTCAAGGGTAAGGCCACAGGAACATTGTTAGACAATGATGCAGCAATTAGAGGGGGTAGGGGAAGGAGGGGCAAGTCAACATCCTAAAAAAAACCAAAGCACATTCTTTAGATGACAAGAAGAAATGAACTCAAGACCAACATCTATAGGCCTGACAGGAGGATTCACTTCTTTATGACCTCGTCTCAGACACTATCACTTCTGCTTTATTCTGTTTGTTAGCAAGTCACTAAGTCCAAGAAAGAATCGGCCAACAGCTTCAGGGTACAGAGTTGTATTAGGGGTCCCCCCTCCCTTTTCTGCTACAGTGGCTTTCATCAAGCTTCATGTTTTATTCACTGAAGGAGGTAACCAATGACTCACTGTTGCTGGACATGAAAATATATCCCACGTGACCCACAGCATTCTTAGACCTATTCTCAAGAGAACCTGGCATTCTCCCCTGCCATGCATGGGCCTAAGGAAGTCTCTCTTGTTGCCTGAGATACCGCCACTAGGGCCACTTTGTTTCCAGCCAGGAGATCGGCCTGCCAGGGCCACGTAGCGTTCCCAGCTCCTGATGAACAGGCTGGCTTGGTTACCCAATCTTAGAACCTCAGAATAGGAGCTGTAGAGCCTAATTCTCTCATAGGCGAGGAAACAGAGGCTATACATATAGAGTGACTTTTCTGAGGTGACATAGTGATCAGAGTCAAGGAAGATCTCCTGACTCAAGGCCTGATGCTTTTCCTACCCCCGTGGTAATTCAGTTAGTTGTCAGTTAGCAAGAAAGGGGTCCTGAATACAGGCAAGAGAACTGTGTCATCAGGGAGAAATTCTCATCGGAACCGAACAAGAAATCAGCTTTAGACCAGATTTAAGACAAGCCTGTTCCTTAGGACACGTTTTTGGGTAAACTTTACTTATCTCTTCCTGGCCTCACCTCCATTTTTGTTTTAATGCCAACACTGTCCTAAATTGAGGGAGGTGTGAATTGGGACCGTCTGATGGCAGAGCAAGTGAAAACCTAAAAGACAGCCAAGGAAAATTATCTTTCTGTGACATGTACATCTCTCCAAGGTATTGGCTGTGGCACTGTGCTTTCTGATATCAAAGTGTAGAGACGAATCCACAGATAGTTCCAGAATTAAAAGTTCTGACTTCAGGAATGCAGTGGTGTCTCCTGAAGAGTTTCTCCCAAGATTTTTTTTCTTTGGACTCAACTTTCCTTTATCAGACTCTTTCCCTGGCCTCCTCTATTTTCTACCACCCCTTTTCTTTCATCATGTTTAGAATGTTTTCTTCCCCCCTACTAGCCTGCAAGCTCCTTGGAGTCAGAGATGATTTTTTAATTCACTTTTAATATTCTTCTAGAGAGCTTGTACATCCTTTACTTAGCTCACCTAGTTGCCCTCCCTCCCAGCCACCATCCATCCCTCCATCCAGTTCTGAGCACTTACTGTGCCAGGCACTGTCATGGGTTCTGGGAATACAGAAGGAAACAAAACTGAGTCCCTACTCTTAATGGAGTTTACATTCCAGTGGGGAGAGACAGATACAAAACAATAACAAAACAATAATGATTTACTGAGTGCATGTTGTGAGCCACACACTGTACTGTGTTTTTTTGTTTCATTTTATTTTGTTGTCCTAACTAGGCTCCACGTCCAACATGGGCCTCAAACTTACAACCCTGAGATCAGGAGTCATACATTCTACCAACTGAGCCAGCCAGGCACCACCACACTGTACTGTTGAACACGTACTGTCTCATGCAGTCCTCACAGTGACTCTGAGGTGACTACTGTTTTTATTGTGCTTCATAGATGAAGAAACTGACTGACTGCAGAGACTGTTGCTTGCTTGGTCACACAGCTAGTTAAAGAACAACCTAGAATTTATACCCAGTTCTTTTTGATTCCTTGGTCTGGGGTCAGCAAACTATGGCCTGCCACCAGAGTTTCCAATGAAATAAGGCAAAATTTTAGGGGCACCTGGATGACTCACTCGGTTAAGCATCTGACTTTAGCTCAGGTCATGAGTTCGAGTCCCGCACAGGGCTCTCTACTGTCAGCATGGAGCCTGCTTCAGATCCTCTGTCCCCTTCTCTCTGTCCCTCCCCCCCTCAAAAAATAAATAAACTTTAAAAAACAAAAAAAAATTTATTGGAACGCAGCCATACTCATTCATTTAGGTATCGTCTCTGGCTGTGTTCACACTGCAAAGACAGAACCGAGCAGTTATGACAGAGACCATATGGTACACAATGTCTAAAATACTTACTATTTATAGAAAAAGCTTGCCAGTCCATCTTAGCCTAAGCTAGGCTCAAGTGATATTCATTGAAGGAATAAATGACCTATAAACTCCATTCATGAAGAGATTCATTCATTCCATTAACATTTTTTTTTTTTTTTTTTTTGAGCACCTGCTCAAACACATGTCAGGCAGCTTTGTTTCCTTAGAGGGTGGGGCCCCATTTGCACTCAGTTTCTTTCTATTATTTGATCTTTCCAGAGTTCATACACCTGCGGTCCCTGTTAAATGCTAAATCTGGTGCCTAATCCCCATTTTCTCTGCCTTGTCTCTAGCTCAGACAAGAAAATCTATTTATTACTTTACAAAATGACAAAAGAGATTAATCAGGATTTGGCAACTAAATTTATCATCTGGGAAGAGTCCAAGAGATAAATTGAAGCACAGTTCTTTACTTCCTATTTCATCCCCTCCTCTCAGTCTGCCTTTATGGGAATAGCTGAGATGGCATTGAAATTTAGGACCAATATCGCTAGGAAAAAACACACTGACAGCTAAATTGGCTTGGCAGAAAGGTGGCATGGAGGACTTTAAGCCAGGGATGAATTATGGGTAATTAGTGAGGCTGGGGCAGGTACCCACTTTCTCCAGATCAGCAGAGACATGAATGAGGAGAAAGATGCGGCTAATTCCAAGGCCTCCACAGGATGCCTTGGGGAAGGGGAGGCACAAAGACTCTAAATCAGGCCCAGGCATTCTGGGGTTCACACCCCCAACAATGCTTGAAAGATGTATTCTAGGGAAGGAAGGTTGGTGAGGTGGAGAGCATGGGGAAAACAGTCAAGGATGCTCAGCACAGATGTATGCGTAAGCAGGGGAGCTTCAGTGCCTTTGAAGTCGGCTGACTTGGAGAGAGGCCTGGACTTGGTCCCCATGCTGTACCATGAGGACTTGGATGACTGATTACCAGGGATGGCTTTCTCTCTGAATCCTCAAAAGTTAGCTCCTTAAGTGTTAGGATTCTAGCTGGTGGGGGAAAAGGACAGAGGAGGAGTAGGGATTATCAGAAAAGTACCTTTTTCACATCAACAAAGGAGAAAAGCCAGAACTAATTGTACTCGTGTCCCATGCAGAGCCCTTGGGGTGCATGGACCATGTAATCAATCTGGCAGTCTCTGCTCAGTGCAAGCCTTGCTGGCGGGGGCGGGGGTGGGGTGGTGTATTACTAAGTGCAAGATCCCAGTGTAGTGGTCAGTTCTCCCAACAACTCTAGGTGGTAGATGTTACTCTTCTCATTTTATAAATAAGGGGTCTGAAGGTCAGACAGATTAAATATCTTATGTCCAAGGCCACAGAGCCAAGAAGTGACAGAAATAGGATCTGAGCTTCCAGGTCTATGCTTCTTCTTGGGCAGGAGAGTCTGTACATTAGTATTATGTAATAACATTTGACTTAGAAAATTGTGTTAAGAGCTCCTCCTAAGGGCCAAGATAACCATGTGGTTTTGCCCTTTAATCAAATCAGAAAGCCATGTGTCTGCTGTGTTCTTACTGGCAGCTCACTGAGTTGTTAGAATAATCCCTGTCATCCCCCCTGTTGGTCTAGTGAGGTGGAAACCAGACGATCCTGATGTGTGGTGTTAGGAGGCAAGGTGCTGGGTTCTCAAGAAAGGTGTGTTAAATTTGTCCAGACACGTGGACGGGAGTGTGGACTTCTGGGTCGGCCCTGGCACCATCACCTCTTTTGGCAGGAAAGCAGGGAGCAGGGGGAGTGGGGAGGGGCTGGGACAGGCTCAGAGTGAGGTTAATCCTCTGGGGATCCTGAGCAGGGCAGGCTAGGGCTTTGCCAAAAGTCCTCTCTGTTTAAGTTGTCATTCATAGGGGTTCTACCCATACTCTCCTGCCTAAAACTACAAGATTTCTCCTGTCATGTGGATGAGCTTGGTTTTCAGAAGCAAAGTAGAGCCACGTCCACTTCCACATGGACAATCAGAACTTGCAGTTCGTTTGTTCCTTCCTTCCTTCCTTCCTTCCTTCCTTCCTTCCTTCCTTCCTTCCTTCCTTCTTTCCTTCCTTCTTTCCTTCCTTCCTTCCTTCCTTCCTTCCTTCCTTCCTTCCTTCCTTC